AATATAACACTGTGTGGATCATCTCTCGGGTTGTCCATCGGCTCCAATACAGGGCTCAAAATACTTTTTTCTGCATATGTTACCTGCACTGGTGCAAGTATATTGAAAATTACATACAGCAGACAAGTTAGCTACACTACTCAAATTTTTGAGAAGTATATATGAATCACACTAAAACTGTTCAAAAACCATTGCTATTTTTTCTTTTATACTCCTGGGTCCATATGTTAAAACAGTCAATGCAGCAAATAAAAATCCACATTGTATCTATATTAACAGTACAATGCATGGACAAGTGCAGGTTGGGTAGCCTATATCAGAAATACTTGTACAGCCTCATTTTTAATGCTCTATGGTGCATAATGCACCCTAACATTTTTGAGCTCTGATCATGATGTGTAACAGTTATGTGTAAGAAATCAAATCCATCAAAAGATCTTGTTCATCCCTGTCTTTGTTGAAATACCAGAACAGTCAATATTTAGATGCATCAGTGTTTAGCTCAGACACTCACTCACTCACAAATGCTAATAATTTTTTTTGTAATCTAAAACATGACTGTACTCTTTGTTCAGCATCATCGCCGATTCGGCTTTCACCTCAAAAACTGTCCATGTCAAGTTCCATAAGAGGGAAACAAATTTTGTGAAAGCCATACCCCCCCCCTCCCTCCTTTTTTGATTTGAATGTTAAAACCTTGAAACATACCAACAAGACTTCCTGGTATTAGTAAAGGAATGTGTAAACCCATCCATGTAGTCGAACTTACAAGGCAGCAAATTTCAATGGATTCTTTTCCCCTCCCCCTCGAAATTTCGAAAGGGTGCCCCCTTCTAATAATCCTTTACAGAGATGGTGGTAGGTTTTAAGTTTCTTTGCTCACAATGTTGAAGACTAAGCATTACAGGAAGTCAGTAGATACAGGGAAACCAGCTAGAGATCATACAGTATATGGTCTGTGGTATAACTTGCCTGTGCTTAAAAATTATAGCCTGGGTGCCAAGCCCATAGCACACTGAACACAAAGTATCTCACAGTGAGCCTCACTGAGATACGTTGTGTTCAGTGTGCTATGGGTTTGGCACCTAGGCTAAAAAATTACCACCAAGCCAACCAAAGGTTTGGTACGGTACTACCCAGGCTATAGTTTACTAGATAGGTTGTCGGGTCTCTTTTGCCTTTTTGGTGAAATTTCAAATGAGTTAATGACCCTAAGAAAAGTCAGTCACATCAGGATGAGGTGGTCACCTGACCAGGTTTCAAACAACTTTCCCTCACACAGTCACTTCTGACAAATCCTGTGAACCAGGAGTATGAAGGGTCATCTACAGGGCACTTTTGTAACATGTAAGTGATACAGCGTGAAATCTAAATCTGCTGATACTGTTCATATAATACCCGGTATACATTAATAAACATACACAATCAGGCTGTCCCTAGACTTGTCTTCCCACAAAATCAAATTGCAGTCATTAAGATAATTTTCTTTATTTGTACCCACATTTTAGTAGTGGTTCTATAGTTATGGCAGGTACTAGTACTAGTACAGATGCCTGCCCTGACTTGCCCTGAGAGTTTCAGGTCACTGGAGTAAACTGATACATCTTCCATGAAATCTCAATTTGCTGAAACAACACACAGAGCAATGGAGACTGTTTTGTAAAGTCTTGTAAGATTTCTTTAGCCTGGTACTTGCTACATAGAGTAAATTGAAGCTATATATTTGGGGATCTGAGATCATGCTGAATTTGACTGACACAAAGACAAGACTACATGTAACAGATCTATAAACTGTAGACGAAGATAACCAAAGGTATCTCAAAATATTTACTTCGAAATTAGGTCAAGCAGTATCAACCATCTGCCAGTTTCTGGATCATCATAGTACAGTAATCTATAAAAAAAATCTCCAGCATTTCTTGACCATAGAGTTGTCAAATGTACAACTGAAGTACAATGTTTGTAACTGAGATGAGAATAAGTGTCCTGTGGCACAGTGAGTGTGACCTGTGACTGAAAGAAAATGTAACTGGTTCAGTATTAATGTAACTAACTTCAGTATTCATTTATTCTGAAGGATGGGTATATGATTATAAAGAGTTTCTTGGCTTCTCTTCACCATCATAAGAGAGGCTGAATTTGCAGCCAATTTGACACATACAGCTACCACATTCTGCCTGTGAACATATGCAAATCATAACTCCCAAGGGATTTAAAAAATTTTTGCAGTTCAAAACTTTAGAGGTTAAAACAGATGATATGAAATTGAATGAAGCATCATAGTTATCTATCCTAGAGTACAGAACCTTTTTTCGGCCAGCTTTGAGTGATTTTCAAATGTTCAATTTTCACGCGCAAAAAAGGTTGAAATATGCGCGTGAAAGAATCTGCTTGAAAATATCTGAAATGTAAGAATTATATCTAATATCTATTGTCTCATCTTACAATACAAAACCTTATACTGGGAAAAATGTCTTGTGACAACTTTGAGTAGATTTCAAATGATTTGCAAGGTAACCTATTCCCAGGGGACCTACAGAATCAGTAGTTTTTAAAGCAAAGACCACAGCTAATAGATGGAAAATTATATCATGGGATCACTTTTTCCTGTCGTTAAATTTTGTACTATACATTTTCTGACATATTTCAGGAAATTAATTTTTCACGCGCAAATTTTTCACGCGCAAATTTTTCACGCGCAAATTTTTCACGCGCAGAAAACCCGTTCCCACAATAACACTCCTGGCTAACCTTTGGTTTACAGCAAGGTTCTAGCTACATGCGAGTCCTGATGGTGGAAAGAAGATGCCGGTGTACTCTTGTTTTGAATTGCTGGAGGTTGTTGTCAGTGATCAGGCTGACCACGTTGTCTGGGAGTCTGTTCCAGACGTGTACTACAGTATGCATGAAAGTTCTGCAGGTGGAGTGAGTTCATATGGAAACTTGTTTTGTACTAGTTCTAAAACTTACCTCCAGTGGCTGGGCGTAATACTGTTCTGTCGGCTCATGCATTTCTTTAGCCTCCCTCATCAGCCGCTTCACAGCTGTGGCAAAAATCATTTTTAAAGATATGTATAGCTGTATTTGTGAATGATGTTGAATTATACACAATTAGAAGTGTATATCTATGCTGTGATATTGTTTGAAGTGTCTGGATCTGGACATTCTTTTCTTTCGTTCTAATGCTGACATATGGACATACATGTATTGTAACATTAGGCATTATATTAGTTAATACTGTGCTATAATCAGTGAAAATATTTTAAAACTAAAGGATCATCAAACTCAATTTTCTAGAAATAGAGATATTGCAGAAAGACGTTGCAGAAATACTGTTTGAGGAAACTTTTCCTAGCAATGACTTAAGTGATCTCAGCATTCACAATTTCCTAAAAGTTTGTTTGAAAGTTTATAGCTGACACACGTTGATATCATTTATTATTATGACAACCGCCCCCCTCCCCATCATATAATTCATCAATTCACCTGGACTTTTCATGTTGTATCGTCCCTCCATCTTCGTGACTGCTAGATCTGTCCCCTCGCCCTGTATTTATGCAGAATCCTGTCGGTTTTATGGCTGTAGCGCCTAAAAACTCAGATTTGATTGATCTGAAGTGTACACGTACATAAAAAACCCGGAAGTTGATCTATTTTGGACACGTATTCGATAACAGATGTAACACGACGGTTCATTGGCTCCGTAGGAGAAATGGTAAACATTTTGACCAATCAGATACTCGTACTCTTAAAGATTCGTCTTCAGAAAAACATAGCTCACGATTTGTAGTCTATGTTTCGCGCTATTATAAAGTTACAGAAAATGGAAAGTAACACAACACTTTATTCACGGGTCATTTTATAAAAGACGTTGACCCTTCACTTTCACTGAGTTTTCGTGCCTTCATAACTTTTATAAGATTGCAAAGTTCAATAAACCACCTCATCCTGGCCAAAAGAAAAGTTTAGAAATGTCCTTCACAAATTATGTCGTCCTCAATATAACCTTACGTTAACGTTTTAAAAAACTGTTTCTTATAATTATCATGAGAACATTCAACAACTGTGCGTGGTACTGTGGTATCAGGTGTCTACTTTGACCTCTGACCGGACCCGCCCACCAAGGGTCATAGGTTATCCTAAGTCTTCGCATTTTCTTCAAAAGTTGCTGCGTTTGCACTTCTGACAACTCCTTGTGCAGCCCAGTTTCAGCGCCCTTCTGCTCACTTGGAAGCCTAGTAGAAGTCCCCTGCACGCCTACACGATGGGTGACGAGTTAAAGAGCGTGGACGACGTGTTACGGGAGCATATCCCGCCGGAAAAACTCCGAGAAGTTCAGAGAGTTTTGTACGGCTCAAGTTTCAGGTGGCTATAGAGAGTAGAGTAGAGTAGATCTTCGGTCATATAACGTTAACGTTAACGTTACTGCATATAGATACGTGTTTGGTCAGGTCGTGACGATAGTCAGTACTTAATGTCGTTTGAATAGCAATGTGTTATAAACTGAAGAATTCGAAAAATCTGTACACAATCACAAACAAATGTGCTAGTACGTTTTTTTTGGCAACGCCTCGGAGGTAGTGACTCTTAAATCCAGTGTCAGCGTATGCAACAATGAATCATTTCTAACAGGTGGCCTGAAGCTGGATTTTCTTTATAAATTATCCAAGGCTATAAGTTGTTATCTGGAGATCAATGTCTTTGTAGAGATGACACTAGTCATCATACAACATTTCAGCAAGATATGATCTGAACTGATAGCCCGAGTGTCAGCCTTTTTGACTTACGTCTGACAGCTAAAAAGGCTGACGCTTAGGCTACCAAACTGTGTAAGATATTAGTTTCATTTGCAAATTCTTACTACCCCTATGTGCAGTAAGTTGAGCCTGCCTGCGGAGGCAGTGAAGCTGGCTGAGGAGCGTAAGTTTGAGCTGGCAGGTTACGGCACGCAGGCCGGACGGGAACAGCTGAGGCCAGCCCGCGTGGTCCGCGTCGGAGCCGTGCAGAACAAGATCATTCTACCCACAAGTGCACCCGTCGCTGAACAGGTTCAAAAGCCTCTTTAACTTTACCATTAAGCATTAGGACTATCATGCAGATAGCATTGCATACTATTTTTTTTAAATAGGTGTTGTAACTTGTATTTTCTGTAGAATGTAAAACTGGTTATGTAGGCATAGTTTGCACTTGGTATGCAATTGCAATCTTAAGGGATGCACAAAAATGCTGGTTGAGGGATTAGGGAACCATATTTTTATTTATTATTAGGGAACCCTAATGATACAAAGAATGGGCATCTGAAAACCACCTGTATATACTCTGAGTGACAGCATACTAATACTAGAAGTGTAATCCTGGTAGTATTGCATGTGGAGTGATCTAATTGATTATAAGTGATTGTCAAGGATTTTTGCTGCAGCTGGAAGGTCAAGATGTCTGTTGCCTAACATTATAATTTACCAGGGAATAAATGTTGGTTTTTGATTTTCACAAACTTGATCCTGTTGTTCATGTCCCATCTGCTAGATGGCAGCACTGCATGGTCGCATTGCAGAGATAGTGGAGGTGGCAGCCATGTGTGGAGTCAACATCATCTGCTTCCAAGAGACCTGGAGTAAGGCTACACTGTATTTTTGAAAGACCAACAATGTACACTATTACAATACTAAGAGCAACCACTGAATTGTTTTCCTTCAAACAAATTTTCTGACTGCTTCTGGTATACATTCTGTATAAATGTACTTTGATAAATGAATAAAAACTATACAGAGTGCTATTATAACAACACAATTTCTTGATTTCCACTAAATTGACTTTCCTGAAGAGAAAACAATGTTTGTTACATGTGTCTTGTTTCTGTTTATTTATCAGCAATGCCGTTTGTTCTTTTCTCAGCAATGCCGTTTGCGTTCTGTACACGTGAGAAGCAACCCTGGTGCGAGTTTTCCGAGTCTGCGGAGGACGGACCAACCATCACGTTCTGTCAGGAGGTGAGGGTGAAATACATGTGCAGGTCTGAAGACATCAGATCTTTATGCTTGAAGAGACAGGTTGTTGTGTTGTTCAGTTGGTTGTTCTGTCTGCATCTCAATGGATGACTTCCTATTTCATTTTTCGTGATCACCTACTAGGGTATGAAAGGACATACTGTACAACAGTCCCAAAAGTTGATATATCCCTTAAGATTATAAAAGAAGGTACAAATGTACATGTATGTAGTAATAAAGGGCTTTTCACATGCCCCCTCCATACAGCTTGCTAAGAAATACAACATGGTGATCATCTCCCCCATCCTGGAGAGGGATGCAGCACATGGCGATATTCTGGCTAATACTGCTGGTAAGGCCACAGATCAGATATTAAATTGTGTAAGAGGTGACCTGTTGTACCTCAAGCACGAAGGAAGTAAACTCACAAAATGGTGGAGTAAAGGAATGCATCAGGGTATGGTGTCATAGTTCTATCTACATACTAGTAAAAAGTAGTATCTCTAGATTTCCTTCTAGTTCTACAATAATGTAACTGTTATCATCTGCTTTGTGTCTTAGTCTATGCAGTGACACATGGTTTGTATGTGTGTACTCTGTAGTGATATACATGTGTTATGTTGTTTTGATTTTGTTTACAGTGTGTGCTTCTTTTTATGATATTTTACTCCTTCAGTTGTGATCTCCAACTCTGGAACTGTACTGGGGAAGAGCCGTAAGAACCACATTCCCAGGGTTGGTGACTTTAATGAGGTGAATAAACCATAGGACTGTATCTTTGTGAGTCATTTTGACTGTGATTAATGACTTACAAACTCTTCAATGTAACATTTTTGAACTTTTGTTCATTAATGTGTAACTCACTGTGCTTTGTGGACATGGTAGTGACAATCTTGTCATGGTGCTTGTATTGCCCCACACATATTCACAGGTGTTCAGTTTTAAGCATCACATGTATATTCACTGAATCCTTACATTGATATGATATATTTTTTTATCAGTCTACATACTACATCGAGGGAAATACCGGACACAGAGTATTTCAGACTCAGTTTGGTAAGTAAATCTTACTCAGTGCTATATCCTAAAGAGAAACTGTCATAAGGCCAATTTATTTGTTAAGGTGCATAAATTTTGGAAAATTATGTCATTTCTTTAATTAAAGTTGCTTGTAGTGTCCTTCAGTTCAATTGAGGATGACACAAAGAAGAGAGAAGAGCAACCCTCTTTCCTTCCAGGTAAAATAGCGATCAACATCTGCTACGGTCGTCACCACCCGCTGAACTGGATGATGTATGGGATCAATGGGGCAGAGATTGTGTTTAACCCTTCTGCAACTGTGGGTGCTCTCAGGTATCCATTTTGAGTCATGTTAGATTTATTTTGATGTTCCTTGTAGGTATATTCCTGCCCTGGTCAAACGACTAAATGAACTGTAGACCATGAACTTTTATTACTCGTACACAGTAATTCCACATCGTGTTTTTATTAATGTTCCACACAGCTATATTGTATGTCGATTTTAAACTAATATTCGCTTTTAAATTTAACTATATTTTTAGATTTTATGAATGTACAAAGTTTTTTTGCAACATGATGTTAGAATAAGCTTCGCAATTCAGCCATCATAGCTGCCAGGAGGCTTGTGTAAATTGTCTTGTTGTTCTTGTAATAAACCATTCTACTACTACTACGTATGAACTTTCATGAAAGAATATTTATTGAGTAGTACTGCTGGTAGGTAACATTATGCTGACAAAGGCTTAAATAAAGCAGGTTTTCAAATTTCCAAATTAACTGATTGTTGGAGTATACAGAACTGGGTTTGATCCTCTGAGCCTGATCCTCTGAACCTGAATGTGTTAGACCAATACCAGTACAGCAATTTTCTTTAGGCTACAATCTTATTGTAGCAATGATGACAGTGTGTATAAACTATACATATCATCCCCTTCCAGTGAACCTATGTGGCCAATAGAAGCCCGCAATGCCGCCATCGCTAACAGCTACTTTGCTGTAGCCATCAACAGAGTGGGCACGGTACGTACAATGTACAATCACATATTTCATAATTAGTTTGTTGGATTTTTCTTTCTTATATATGATTCTTCCTGTTGTTGCCACTGACTCAGATGTGAAATGTAACATTAACTGCTAAAACATATACTTTTCTTTAGGAGAGTTTTGAGAGTGAGTTTACCTCAGGGGATGGGAAGAAGGGTAAGACACACCTTTTCATCTCTAGTCAGGAGATACATGTACATGTAATGTCATTTATAATCAACTACATGTAAAAGGAAATGATGTCATTTCGAGGTTCAATGTACATTATGTAGTTTACGGGGTATTTTTTTGCTTTTGCTATTAATTAAAAGTCTTCTCTTTTTCTCCATAGCCCACCATGACTTTGGCCATTTCTATGGTATGTAGTCTTTCTCTTGCATATATTTGAATATATGCTTTTGCTTTGTAAAATGATGATCTACTTACTAATAGCCTACATGTACTGTGATATGCTGACCATGTATACTTGTTACACTCTAGGTTCCAGCTATCTAGCAGCCCCAGATGGAAGCCGCACTCCTGTGAGTCTTAGTTTGTATATATATATATATATATATTATAACTTAAAGACATATGGTAAAAACTGTAACCTGTACTATCAATAATAATCATGGCAAATTCAGTATAAAAAAGTAGAGCTTGAAATACAAGTACATTTGTAGTTACAATGTACGAGTATTTTTCTGATTCATACAATTTTTCAAAATTCAAAATAAAAACCTGTAATCCTCTTAGCTTCGAAATTTCCTGACAGTCAAGTTGTATGTCCATCTTCATTTTGTAGGGCCATAATTACTTATTTGTTTTTGTTGTATGTAGTTTTCCATGTTTTACTAACTAACTACTGTTTTACTTGTTTGTGTGTCCATGCAGGGTTTGTCACGTGTTGATGATGGTTTACTGGTGACAGAAGTGGACTTAAACCTGTGCAGACAGGTCAAGGACAAGTGGTGCTTCAGGGTCAGTTATAGTGTGATGACTGTCAATTAAAAAAAATACTGTACCAAACAATAGATGTACATCTGTGATAATTTCATTCTGACACAAAAATAGTAAGTAACTTGCAACAGGCAGACAGAAATTGGACAGTATCAGAGTTTTTCTGATAACTTCAAGATGTAAAATAATCTGTATCCTCGCTGTGTTTTACTATCCAGATGACTGCCCGGCTGGACATGTATGCAGAGTCCCTGGCCTACGCTATCCAAGATGGCTACCAGCCTCCTGTTGTCAAGGAGACATAAAAAAAAAACTAAAGTAAAAGCACTTTTGGACAAAGATAAACTGACACAGCAAATTCTCTAAACAGTAAAGTTTGTAATTCTAGATTTCCTAGCTTTGCAATAATACTAACATATCATATCATGATTTTGTGTGTACATGTACATGTATTAATCTGCTGAAGGCAACTTCTGGCTGCAAAAAAATTAATACACACTGTAATCCAAAATTAAAATGTAATACATTATACATTCCTTGATCAAATCTAGATTTTTATCCAAATAAAGTAATTCTAATTGTAGGTACTTTGCATCTCGCTCTTACCAATTACTAAACTTAGATAAGTAATTAGCAGTGGTATACTGTTTATCAAGTATGTACTAGTAGGTCTTTTTCAATGCTACCTCCTTAAAGCTTGCATAAGTAAGTCTAAACTATAATGTATGCAAGAATGTACGTTGTACCTGAAAATGATTTTTGTTTGCCACAAAAATGATGTACTATGATAACAGTAACTATTCATCAACTCAGTAAAGATTTGTATGGTACTTATTCAGTTTGTACGATTCTCATTAATTTTCTGAAATCCTTTTGAAGGAGTGAAGCATATAATATTCGTTCTAGTCAAGCAGCTCCAAAACAATTTCATTCATATCATATCACAGGCTTCTTGTGTATTGAAGTCAGCCTGATTAATTTGAATCCATGGATAATTGAATAACAGCTCAGTTGGTGGCCAGCAAGAACATCATGTTAATATAAAGCCAAAAGAATGTTAAAATTTAAATTGAATTGAACTCGAAATCGACAGCTTCATGTAGGAAGGAACGATATCCCATACAAAAATAGTAGTTCACACAGTCATATGATCAAAAGTTCAAATATGAGATATATTGAAGGACAATCTTCAACTGCAACTGCCAGTATGACAATGCAAGGAATTAGACACACCCAAATATACATACACAAATTATCTACCGCTGTCACAATTTGCATGTAATATTCATAGAGGCGGTGGATTCATTCCTTCACAGAGACTTTCTTTGTTCAGTCAAAAATTAGGGTAAGTCCAATTCTTTGTGTTGAAAATTACAGTCAAAGAGCCTTCTTCATAATTCCACATATACTAACCCTTTGAACTTTGAAGCCAAGAATAAGACGGTTAAGTTGATCCTACCGACTTGGGCGGTCAACTTATTTTTCCTGCCCTGAGGCATTCTCCCAGGCATTCCGGAATCGGTTTCTAATGTCGGCAACAAACCTACCTTTATCAAGGTAAAAAGTATCATCAAGCTAAACGACAAAATAGCCTGAAGGCGAAATAAAAGACCCGTGAAAAATGTGATAGCGATCCCTTAAGCCAGAACTCGAGCAGAAACATTCCACGACTTACAATCAAATTCAGTGAGTAGGAAATCAAGTAATGAGCTTTTGAATGAGATTTCCAAGGACACAGATCCTAGCGTCTTTGCGAGAGCTTATTGAGTTAACAGTCACAGTATAACTCCTGTCTGGTTGATACGTATAAGGTTCTTATATAAAAGGGCAAATCCTTTGTTTTTGGTCATTCCTGAAGAAAGTTGAAACGATGATCATGATTGTGCGCTCCGTGTTTTTACTGAACTTTGCCATTTTTACTTCCTCTCTGTTGTTTGGAAGTGCAGAGGGACAGGAAAATGGTGAGTGAAAACTTATTTTCTTCTGATATCAAAAACACACACTAGCACTACACAATCTGTACATGTTTTCCATTGCGAAATATCATCATTAGTGTGTATTACGGTCTACAGAGGTGCACCCACATGCCCATTCTGTGAAGGCTATGATATCAGCTTTAACGTTTCACCGAAAAATTACAATGTAAAAGCAATCACAATATTTTGCTTATAAAAATACATAGGATTCTTCTGACGAAAGATAATTTACTTCATGAAACCACCTGTGATCATTTATTGGAATATACATTGTTCTGTAGCATGTTCAGGAGTGAGTGGCTATGTGGTCCAGTCAGCTCTGTCTGGTAACATCAAGAGCCCGGGTTTTCCTGACAGGTACCCATCTCCATCTACCTGCACGTAAGTAACAACGTTTTGTAGTATCTACAACACTTTAGTCCACCCCACATTTTATCTGTTACATGTTATCCTTGAAGCATGTTGTGTTTTGAGCCTCATTTATAGACCAATGCCAGGCACTCCCTATTTTCTTTTATTACATGTACATTGGAATTCCATGTAAGGCCTAGGAAAAAATGTTGTGTTTCCTGTTTCCCGACCGACCCTAGAAAAACTGCCAACCCTAGCTTTCTTTTTTGTGGACCCCTGCAAGGGACATACATTTTTCAAGCTGATCAGCCTTTTCTACATGTAGCTCCATGATCTGACACATGAGTGATGAAACATTGTACAATCTGTTTTCCAACACTGAAATCAAAAATACAACATTAAAAATAAAGTGTCCTCATGCGAGAAAAAAAAGAAAAAAAAATGTTATTCTTACCTACTATTGTGACAACTATCTCTAATTCTAATTCAGTACTGAAACAGGAAACACAACATTTTTCCTAGGCCTAGGGCTTGATCTTCCTCTGTTAGACTTGAATAACTTTATTATTATCTAGTATCCGACTGTCTTAATTTCCAATTTGTCCTGGCAGGTGGAAGATCACAGTGCCTGCCGGGAAGAAGATCCGTCTCGTCTTCAGCACGTTTGAGGTTGAGGACCACTTGTCTTGTAGCTATGACTACCTCCAGGTAACAAATTAAAACTTATCAATGGTATACAGGTGTTAACGGTGGTGTAAACAAGAATTGTTATATTGCCACACCAATTCAATTTCTTGGTTCTTGGATTCGCCTCTTCATTTTTTTCTGATTTGCAAAAACGAAAAAAAATTCTGGTTCTGAATCAACTAAAAATGCTCAATGACATACATATATTTTGCCCCCCAACAGTTGAGGGAAGTCCTTTTCTTCTTAGTTGTTACAGTTTTTCCATGATGCAGTAGTGGTTTGATTAGAAGTTCAAAATTCATTGTTTGAATATTAACCCTGCCTTTTGTGTTAGAATCTAACTTAATGGCTCCTATGGTAGCATTTGGGGCTATGAAGGATGCCTATACCTGTTTTTTGTTTAATTTATTTTATTTTCGCCCTGTCACTTCATATTTTCTCTGAAAAAATCCCGAGAACCAACAAATGAAATTGGTGTGGCCGTAATGGTACTTTATGGCAGAAATGTTTTTCATTGGTTGTTTTGAACTGCACAATTTTCTCAGCATCATGACCTCCAAAAAGAATGCTGCCATAAGTGGCTGACTTGTACAGTATACTCTAGCTTTGCTTCTTGTGTTTAGATTAATCTATCTCATCACCAGTCCTGAATATACAATAACAATTTAAACTAATTCAAGTGTCATGAAATAACAGTTACTATCTAAAGTAAATGTACCCTAGTCTTGTTTCATGAGGAGAATTGAGTCCAAAAAGAGAATACAAAATTGTTTGATAGCAAAGTGCCATACTTTTACACATTTTTGATCGACGTTGTAACTACATAGGTCCGTGATGGCGGTCACAGCTCATCCCGGTCGATCGGCAAATTTTGTGGGAAAAAAAACCCTGGGCCACTGATCACTTCTGGAAACAAGGCCTATTTACATTTCAGGTATGGGATGATTTTAGGGTATATTGATAACAGAAGGTCGAAGGTTTGATTCCCCAATCGAGTCATACCAAAGACTGTAACAATTATACATTCTGCTTAACACTCAGAACTTCTGGGGGAGAGTTTAGAAGTTTAACACATACATGTAGTACTACCTGTGGACTGGCCCCATCCTGTAGTACTATCTATGCTTGCACAGCAGTATGGTCCAAAGGCTATTAAAGAGAATGACAACTCAGTGACACTTCTGTTCAGTGGTTATAATGCTATAAGAACATTATTGTTTTAGCAGAACATCTTCTAGCATATTTGCAACTACTGATAATGAGTCTTGTGCATTTTTCAGATCCGACACAAGTGTGGCCAGCAAGGGGTTTGAACTGCAGTGGTCCCAGTTTACCAATACTACCATAAGTAGCATCACAACTGATGCGGGTGGTATGGGGCTTACAACTGCAAGACATCCAACACCTGCTAGTACATGGAACGCAGACACAACCAGGCATACAGACAAAGTCACTGCAGCTAGTGTCCAAACAAGCAGCCACCCAGTAACTGGTAAAAGCACCACCCAACAGAAAGGCATAGTCACTGCAACCACAAAGGGCAGTGGAGGCCCTGCAACTACTACAAGCGCCACACGGCGGCCAGGCATAGTCACTTCAGCCACAGGAGGTGATGGATCATCAAGGGTTACATCGGTGGGATCTCTGGCAACTACATTGCTGACAAGCTCTACCAAGACTTGGGACAACTTCACAGTCAACACTGAAGGTAGGACATTTCATCTTCCATCTTTGGTGTTATTGTATAGGGGTATTAGCCTATATAGAAGTGTCATACATTGTAGATGAGACATTTTGCAAAGAACAATCTGTGTGTTGCATTCTACCTTGTTGATATGGATGTTCTGTCTGTTGTAGAGTACATGGAGAACATGATCTGTTACGTGTGTGAGGGAATGTCGTCTGGGTGTTTAACAGGAGAAGGTCTGGAAGACTTTGCAACGGAGTGCCAACAGAACGAAGCTTGCTGGGTAAGTAAGGTTTACAAGGAATATTGCTTTGTGCACTCATTTAGAAACATGCATCCACCTCAAACTTTGACCTTAGACTACCATGCATGATGACTGTACATGAAACTGTACGCTTGACTATTTCAGGTGGAACGTATTGGAGCAGGAGATCTGGAGGGGAAAGCTGTGTACTACCGCCGCAGCTGCCAGCCTAGGTGCACCGAGTACTGGCAGGAGGAAGTCTGTATGACTGCTGATGGGCAAGCAAAGGTTAGTTCTCTTCAAAAATGTTTTCACGTATAAGAGCAATCCCACCTACAGCCCTGGGACAGTTAAGTAAATTGAATTCCTTCCCATACCATGTGGTGCATAGGGCAGTGCCCATCTCTGGTTCAGTAGCCCTTGGACCACACAGTTGTGTAATTGCTACAGCAGGGGGTTAGTCCACTGGTACCTGTGTGTATTTAACTCCCATACTCTTCCCCAAATGCTTAGCTCTAAGCAGAGAAATCAGTATGTACCATTTTTTAAAAGTCTTTGGTATGACTTGGTCAGGGATTGAACTCACGACCTTCCAAATGCAAGGCGAGCACTAGTCTACCCACTTGGCCATTGCACCGGTCCTGTACAGCCCTGGGAGACTGGATAGTTTTGTTAGACAGGTATGCAGAGGTTTAACTTCAACTCTCTATGTTATCAGGTGTGCAGGCTGTGCTGTACGGAGGACAGGTGCAACACTCATGTCCTGACTGGTCATAGCGCGGCTCAGTCCCCGGGTAGAAGTCATACAGACACAACCGTGGCATCTTTCAAGCTGGTGTCTATCCTGGCACTTACAGTGTGCCTGGATATTCTGGCAATAGCCACTTAATGAGAGGAAATAAAGTAACAGGAAATGCAGTTTAGCGAGGGTATTAGTAACTTGAAAGTGACCAGCAGTTAAAGTGACCAACATGTAAAACAGGACAGTTGCTGTTTCATTACAAATGGGCAAATGCCAACCACATAACCATCAACTTAATAAGAATTTCTGTCATTACTTTTTATGTACATGTACCTACGTATTTGTTACCTTGATGGGAACAAGATTATCAATATGATTCATGACCAATGAAGACTGTGCTGGAGGGTTCACATGCCCAGAGATGGCATGGGCAGAGAAGGCATGATGATGTATCTACTGTTTAAAAACATAAACTTTTATCATTCACAAAATAGGTTTTTATACCACACACTACTAGCATGCACACACACACACACATATATATGAATAATTTTAAAAAAATCCCCTCTAAAAGGACAGACATATTAGCAAAGACACAGTCCAGGTGACACTTTTGAGTTAATTTTCTCTTTCTTTGAGTGGACAACAAATACAGGTTAACAAACTAGTATGTAGATATTGCTTCACCAGGTAGCCAGCAATACTACTGGGAATATGATACTTAGTCAATAAAGTGAATGATGCACATACTAGTGTTCTGTTTCTACAAATTTTTGCTCTGTGTATTTTCTGTATTTCCTGCTAGATGCGTGATGCTAAAAATAACCTCTACAAATGTAAATAATACTGAAAGGTATTCCTTATAGCTCTGCATTCATATATCTTGTCTGAAATAAATACTTACCGTATTAGCACTATGTTATGATAAAACCTCAAGCATTGCAACGATAAACAAAAACTAAGCAAAAAGGATATAAAATTCTGAACAAACCTGTAGCACTATTAAAGTTAGTATCTCAAGCTTATGAAACAAGACTTTTGAAAAAAGTTTATCTCGGCCGCTGGCCATGTAGTTTTGTGTTCTTTGAGGATGTCCACATAGATTTGTGTAACTGCTAGAGAGGAAAGAATGTATTACCTAGTATGTTCATACCTGTAACACCAAACAGGGTAATAAATTGGCTTCCATTATCATTTGCTTCAATGGAATTAGTGAAAAATATTAATCTCGAAGCAGATGTTGGGAGGGAAAATGTTTAGGTAGAGATACAGATTTTCATTTGTGATTGAAGATTTGAGAGACAGGAAAGAGTTTAGGATATGTATGTGGAGCTAATTTCTCTGTTAGAGTAGGTTACACAGCTCTATGTATGGGGAAGACATTTTTTGGAATCAGTAGTGTCATGTTGTATATTACAGAGGAACTATGTTTCATCTGTATGTTTCATTGAAATTGTAATGTCTGGACAATACTGATGAATAAAGAGCAAAGATGCATGTGTCAAAAGTGAAATGTTTTATTTTGGTATAACTTCATGAGACAACACAAAATGGAGTGGCTACAATAACAGAGCTGTCAAACGTTATCAAGCTTAATGCACTAACATATTGTTAGGTTGTACGAATTCATAAATTTTCACGGGGGGGGGGGAGGGGGGCGATAACGTAACTCTGTTTAAATCTGTTCAACAGCACGAATAAAACACAATGTAATTGATTGCCCTTGCCCGTAGTATCTTTAGCTCCATTTTTATCCTATGGCTCTATGCCTAATACCCTTATAATTCCTGATATTTTGCTATTTTTGCTAAGTAAATACCTAAGCAGCCTCATGCGTTACATCCGGGATCTTCGATATGGGAAATTCCATTCAGGCCACTAATCAAAAGCGACATCTTGCGACCGAGGAATATAGTGCACTTCCATAACCTTCGTCTTGACTTATTCAGATGTCTCAAGGTAATATTAAAACGTAATTTTTTAAACTTGGTTTATTGGTGCAATTGCAGCAGTTATTACCAAATCTTTATAACATTTAATGCATACTACTCTCATGTCCCTAATAAACATACCCCCGGAATAAACATACCCCCGGACAAATCTTCAAAGTCTAATATACATACCCTCCGGAATAAACGTACCCCCCGGAAAATGACCAAATTGACAGGTGAACGGTACTAAAATGTGCTCTTTATTTCAATACCAATGTATGGGCAAATCTTTCACTGTTACTTTTGATTAGGAATATAAATATACTGTACTAGTACTCAACAAACAGTGTCGACATTACAGCCATATTACACCACTAGCAATAGGGGTGGGTACCTGTTCGGCTCTTCCAGGTCCAGAGGATCAGGTCCAGGTCCGGACCTGTACCTGTACCTGATTCTGAATACCGGAGTTTCAGTACCGAATTTTTTTGCTAAATGATCATTGCTAAATACAATATAACGTTAAGTATATGTAACCACTACAATAATTTTCATTTTATTTTATTTTTTTATTTTTATTTATTTTTTATTTATTTTCATTTTATTTTTATTCTGTTTTATTTTATTTCATTTAATTTTATTCTATTTTATCCGTTCTATGCATTATCAAACTTCTCCTCTACTGCTAGAGCTACTAAAACTTCAGACCGAATATATTAAACATTTTAATTCGCCCCCTCTAGCGGTTTGGGCCAAATTGCAGCTTTCCAAAAAAATCCAAGATGGCGGCGGCAGATACGGCGCGGCTCGGCGATAATTTGCCGATTTCATTGTATTTTCCTTGGTCTTTTACGCGATTCAAGCAAAGAAAACAAGTTGACCACAAGAACAAAAGAGTAATACAGCACTGGGAATCTAATGGTCCGTTTTGTTGGGCGGTAATTTCTCATTTCAAGTGAATATTTACGTGCGTCACAGTGATTTATTCACCAATCAAAAGCGACATCTTGCGACTTAAGCAAATATGGAAGGTTAATGTACATAATTTATGTCATTGATTTATTGGTCCAATTACCGCAGCTATTAGCGAAATTCTAGAACCTTAAATGCATACTATGATATAAAACAATGGTTTTGTGGTAAACAGCATTTCCTCTTTTTTAGCAACTTCGTTGTATAAGAATAACGACACTATCATCCGGTAGCTCGACCCCACAAAGTAAAGTATACACGCATAGTAATTGGTTTCATTGGGTTTTTTTTCACGGTCGAAATCAAGATTTCAATCAAGATCCATCCAACGTACATATTTTGGAGCACAATACCTCGGCCGCTCAGGCGGCCGAGATAAAAATTGTGCTACAATATGGGTGTACGAGACGATGAAATTTGAAAACAAATTAAAGTTATTTTGTAGAAACAAAGGTCTAGGTGGTGGTCGAAAAATGTAAAAATTCTTTGAATTCCCTAACAGGTTTCCTCAAAAAAAGGAAATAACACTACTAGTAAACCTTGTTTCACAGTTAAAACTGCCTTGCTATCTACGGCAATATCAAACAACAGAATATTCTTCAGCCTAGCCTGGGTGTCATCCTCCATAGTTAAAGCTAGCTTGCCTTTTTTTACATTTCAGTAGCAAGGGAAAAGGAAGAGCTTTCAATAACTGAGGAGGATGGTACCCAGGCTATCTGTAGTATAGACATTTTGGACAGATACCGTAGAGAAAAGAAACACAAAGTCAGATGCTACAGGCTTTGCACAATACTTTCAACCAGGTGTTGGTACAGTTCAATACTTTCCTGTTTCAAGCAATGCTGCCTATCATGTAAGCCCACGCCAATTGAACTTCTTGGTTCTAGGCAAAGTGCCCCATCAACTTTCACATTAAAATAAAAAGATCACACATATCCATTTAGGATATGAATTATATATCCCTCCAAAAAGTATTTTGGCACTATCAGTTTATGATGTTTTCCATTGAAATTTGAAAATTCTTCTTTCATTTTCTTTTAATCTCGTATGCCAGCAACATTGTTTTCATGCAAAAATCTCACGACCAAGAAATTCAATTGGTGTGGCCTGAGTTTCTTACAGCAACAGCCACCTGGTGAGGTAAGAGAATAACAGCTCCTGATACAGCTATTTGGCTAAGACAGCATTTACTGGTACTTCTGATTTCATCAAATTGTGAACTTTGATTCTGTCAACAAAGATGTGATACTTCTTTTTGACACTAAAATGCATGATTGTAACCAAATTGGCTTTTACAAACTATGCTTGCTACGATACAAGGTATTTAAAACCCTATTCTCTGGCCATGCTAGTGTGTTGCACTTCAGAAAGAAAGAAATACATGTACTTGCAGAACTCCAAATTTACCAGCAGTAACCCGCATATATGCAGGATCTTGTGCTACTAATAGTACTTTGAGCCTTGGAATGCATTTCTGTTCCAGGACATTATATACATGTTAACCAGTTAAAAACTAGGTTGAACCAGTGTATATTGGACATGGATCTTTCCCAGTCCGTGGCCAGTTTCAAAAGACCTGGCTAGTCATTCAAACTGGTCCCAGTCAATACTATACAGTAAATTAATAACAGAAATCTAGAGAATCGTTTAACTGAATGTGTTAGCAATATCATAATATTAGTAGTACATGTACATTTCTTTGTCACCTTATAAACATGGGAATTGTAGAATCTGACCGATCAAAACAGAGACAAAGTCATTGATTTGGGTAATTTTTTTCATATCAGTACATGAGTTTGATCTACATTATTACACTACCCAGCAGTATTCACAGCATATGGATGTGACTTCAGGAGAAAGTCTTAAACATATGACTAAGCAGTTTTTTCAAAGACTACTAAAAATTTTGAGTGGCTTGCTTTTGTGTTATTTACAAACAGCAGAATATGGAAAAATTATGTGATTTCAGGAAAAATTAGTTGGCAAATGCTAATCTGAAAAGATATTTTAGATTCAGAATATTTGAAGTTTTGGTGCCAAAATCCTACAATGCCCACCAAGTACTGCTGAACTAAAAGTTGCACTAAATCCGAACCATGTGACTATAGAGTCTGTTGTGTTAGCACGTCAGCAGAACGTACTGCACCTGCGCGAAATCCATAATGTATTGATCATAGCACTTTGGCAGAACGTCTCATATAAGGTTGTATTCGCGCATACAAGGTTAGCATTCCATCAATAGTTTCCAAATGTTATGTTGGAAAAGATATCGTCTGCAACAGGCAAAATTCTGATGCAACGTTGACCAAAAATCCAACGAAAACTGCGAAAATCCAGAGTCCTGCGCAGGCGCGGTATGTTCTACCGACGTGCGTGTTGTGTTTGCACTCAGTCAGTCACCCCGTGTGCCGCCAGCTCCGCAATGACGTTATCCAGGTACTCGGGGTCTGGGTAGCCGTGGCCAGTCACGTTGGAGCCGAACTCCGTCTTGTGGTGGATCTCATTCCACGTGACGGTGTTGTCCTCTCCCGTGGTCGTGGAGCGACCGATGGTGAAGATGAGGCGACGTTCCCACGCCTTAATCAGCAACAGGAGTACCTGGAATGACATGGTTAGGGATACAAACGAATGAATGAATGAATGAATGAAACCATTTGTCATGTGAAAGAAGATGTCTTTTTTATAGCTGTATAGTTATAGTTGTATGCACATGTATGTATTTTATTCCAAGAAGCTCTCTCAGGGTAGAGGAATAAAGAATGGAATGAATGAAAGAATGGATGGATGGATGGTTTATTGTAAAACTTTGCAGCCTTCTGGCCAAAATGTATTTCACTTACAACAGTTTGAAATATGTTTAACTCAATTCCACAACAAACCTTCACATATTTTTTAGTACATGTATTAAAGAAACACGAATTAAACCGTCATAAATATAGGGTATCTTTAAAAGATAACTGAGGTATCTCAAAGGATCATCTAAATCTTATCAGATTAGTCAATCTCTTGTACATCATTAAGACTTGTACATTTTCCAATAAAACCATTACCTACCCTGCGTCCTTTTTCAGTGTCGGGCAGGTAGCAGAGGCGAGGAAAGCCTCGTGCTGTGTACTTCTTCCCTGGGGTGGGATGTTCTGGACCCTGGAGAACACAAGACACATCCAACACCTTAGAGTTATTGTTTTGAAAAGCTAAGTAAAAGCAAATATATCTAACTTATGCATCACCAGGATGATTAAGGACGTCCTGATGTGCTTTAAGAGACTAGGCATGAGAGGAGCTAAAGTGCTAAGGTAAAGGATGGCTAGCCACTGTTTGCTTGTAAAAAAGGATATCTTTTCACTGTGCTGTGTTCACTGTGACATTATTGCTAGACAATGAAATTATAATTCAATTACTGTTGGCTGCAAAAATATGTAGCCATCAATGTGATTTTTTGATGGTTTGATGAATTTTAATAATAGACGGGTGAACATTTGGCACAAACATGTATGAAACTTGAATATACTCCAAAACTGTTGTGTTTTGGTTTTAGCAGTTGAGGTCAGATTTCAAGTCACCACACACACTAGCGCTGACCTGTATGCCATGTGGTATGGTGTAGATGATTCGGATGGTGTGACAGTCCACATAGCTGGGTAGTGGGTAGGGGATGACGTGGTAGTCCATGGGTGCCGGGCGGCTGGTTCCCCACACTTCTCCCCATAGATCATCTTACAGGTGGGACGCTGCAAACTGCCATACCTGGGGCAGGACAGAAAAAGGGGGTTAACATTTATAGTAAAGAAACAAAGTCATGTCAGTAACATTGCTGTTTAAAAACACACCTACTATTTTGGTGACTTTACAGATTTTGTGATGCAAATGACAAAGAACTTGAATACTAGTATGTACACAATGAAATTCCCATTTATTTCCTACAACAAAATCCTACCAGACAATGTAAAATTGTTCCAAGTTCGTAGAATTTATATTTTGTGGCACTGTGAAAATCAACAGTTTGCAGTAGTATTGAAATGATAGTGGAAAAAACGTGAAAATTTCACAATTCATGTACTTGTTTTCAATGATAAAAGTATCATAATAAAATAGTAGATACTGTTACATTGTCAGTCCTCTCAAAAATACCCAGTATTCATTTTCACAAAAAAATGGACCTGCCTGTTGCCCAAACTTTCTGCATTCTCAGCCCTACCTCTGGGAGGACAAAGAGCTTTTCCAGCCTCTATAAGATTGTCTGACCTTTGACCCACTGTTGTACATGGCGAGTAGACAGACTCCGTGGAACACATGGTTGCAGTGCTGCAGTTTGGTCACCATGGTCGGGGCCATGTTGTCTGTGGCATCGTAACCAGATGGTCCTCTTAAGTTCTCACAGCAGATGGGACAATCCTGAAACAGAACATCACAGCTTTTTAGATTCTCAACATTCTGTAACATGTACTAACGCTAATATACATTAATGAAGGTTACACTATGCCAAAAACAGTTACTCAAGCAACTGGATATGATTTTGATTGATTATGATTTCAAAATCATATCCAGTTGCTTGAGTAACTGTTTTTTGGCATATCGTATTACCTGGATGTCTAACCTTCATCGACGAAAGGTTACACTACTTTCATAATTCTGCTATGAAACATTAGGAACAACACAACTAAAAAACAGTGAATTGAAAGACATCTACTAATGACAGCATCAGCAATTTCAGATGTTCAAGAGTCATTTTTGAGAGAGCTAACCATGCATTTTACATGTCAAAAGTTTACAGTCCCTTATTGCAGGAAGGAAATACCACCATGTTGTACCTCATCTGGGGGTTGTTCCTTCATCTTAACAGAGTATTTCTTCAAGACGTCAGGTCCACTCAGGCTGTTCTTGGTCTTGGAGGATTTCCTACGAAGTTTCTTGGGAGGGGGGACCCCCTGTACAGGGCGGCACTCCATTTTTGACACGTGCGGGGGGCTGAGGATGGGTCCTGTGCAGTGGGTCAGGCGAACAGGTAGGGCTGGGGACATCAGCAAGCCTGTCATACCTACAGGAGACACAAGGGGGAGGAGCTGTTCACGCCTGATTGACAGTTCTGCCTAGGAAATGTTACTTATAGATGTTCCATTGGCAGATTTCTTTAGAAGACAGAAATGTACAGAAATGATATTGGGCAACAGTCGTCTATTTCAATGGATATCAAACCATTGAGCACACTGGTTTGAATAGAAATGATAAAAAATACAATGAAATGCTAGTTTTGATTGGTCATTTATTCTAAGTTAGATATATATTACATATCTTAACCAAGAACAAAATTGCCTGTTACTTTGTTGGGTGAAATCAAGTTTACAAAGTTAACAGCAGTCGCACAAATATGTTGAAACCAGTTATTTTACCATTGCTATGCTGATAACATTGTCCATCATACCTGTGACTGCGTGTGTTAGGTGGGAAATGGCATGTCTGTTATGTGCGACGACCGTCGTGGGCTGTCCTCCGCTGACCAGCGCGGGCGTGCTCCGTGCTCGCGGCCTCGCTCCTGCGTTCACGGGTAACGGCGTGGTAGCAGGAGGAAACACCGCCGCCATACCATTTGTACTTGTCGACAGTTTCGAGTTCATCCCGTTCCTGCTTTTCACGCCAGAAACGCTAGGTGGCGCCGCTACACTGCTAGCACTATGGGTCCTTTTATTGCTCCCTCCAACAGACGTGCTTGGCACTACGGCTGTATTGCAGTGTACATGGCCGTTCACATAAGTGGGACTTGGCATCTTGCCGGTGCTGACGTAGTTATAGTTTCCCGACAGTGGGTACACGACAGGCATCTGAACTCGCTGGATCTTCCTGGTGTAGCCCGTCTCCTGTCGGGTCTGAGTCATGGTTCGGAAGTCTATGGTGTACGGTAGGTTGGCCATGGTGTGCAGAAGGTCGACGGAGGGCAAGCCGGAGATGTACGCGCCCTCCAGGACGTAGCACGTGTCCATGTCGTAGAGTGACCAGGCGCAGTCCCCCCACCACTGCCACACCACCCCCCGGCCTGGGGCAGATTCTGGGGGGTACTCCTTTCTCCTGACAGATCGCACTGTGCCTGATGGTTACAAAGAACACAACAAAATATGATTATAATCAAGAGTGCTTATTTTTGTGCAAACAAATAAACAAATCAAAAAACAATGGTGAGTACAAAACAGCTATTTTCTTATGTCCAAAATAGTCAAGGTCTTTCCTGCTATGTGTATGTACATGAGGTGTAAATGCTGTAATTTCTTCAAAATAACCCGATTGCTTCAATGGGACTTCATTGTTCAATGTAATAGAAAACCAACTGCCTTACAGCTTACACATTCAGCAGATGGGTAGAGGTGCAGGATGACACATAGTTTTACACAACACAAAAATTCCTCCAATAACTTTCAACATAAGACACAATAAATAGATCTTTAAGTTCAACCTTTGCTGAGTTGTTAATCACAGAGAATGATTGGTACAGTGCATCATCACATCATCATGATTACTATAGCTAGCTACCTGTATCTGTCCGTAGTTGCTCCATGGTGTCCTTGTCCACCACATACACCCCCAGCCGCTGGTCAGCCTTCACCAGACCAACACTCGGTGTCGGTGACTCCTGCTCCAGCAGGCGACAGACGGCCGGCTCGTACGGGCGCCAGTGTCCGGTGTCCGTCTGCCACTCCCACACCACCACGTTAGGCATGGCGACGGGCCCCGCCACGGTCCCGCTGGCCGCCGCGACGCTGCTGCATCCGCTGGGGATGTACGTCGCCATCTCTGACAACACACGAACATGGGAAATTAACGTCATTGTGACATTCAACAAGTCCCTCAAGAAATATATTATACATATACAAACAGACATATGAGGACACCATATAAACACACACACAGAGAGTGGTTTGCATGTTATTTTGAGCAAAGATGCTGTCATGAAAGTCATCTTAAATCCTAACACTTCATAATTCTTTCATCTTCAGACAATTCAACAACCTACTCCAAATCTAATCTATACAGACAGATCTAGAAGCTCTTAGAGGCATTGCCACTCAGATCGCTAACATTGAAGAACAGGTCCTCCTTACACTAACCAAAATAACGATAGTTATACTTTTAACTAAAATCCATAGTCTTTTAGACTATAAGTCTACAATAGTACGTGTGTCCTAACATGTTTTCTGCAGTGCCAGACTAATTTTCTATACAGCCATCAAAAGGCCCATCATTATTCATAGGGCATGTGTAGAGGCTTATGTAACCTTGTTTTTGCCTTCTAAGGGAGCGAATTTCAAATCGCTGTAACTTGCTTTTGCAAAATTGTTATGACCTCATCAAAATGTCATGAAGTTTTTATTCTTGGCCACCTTTACGGCATTAGGGATGAAATTTTGTCTTGAGCGGTGGAAGGACTAAAGAGAGCCCTGAAACTGGTAGATGTTTGTTTTCGAACTGCACTGTGCAAATGCAATATCTCATTGATTAATTCAAAATCAATAGCATGAGGGCTGGAAATAACACCTGCAGCTGCAGGTTAGTGCAGGTAAAGTTGGAGCTGTGCAGATATGTTACACTAGTATTCCTGATGTCTATCTGTACCTGACCTGCACTAGAGCAGGCAATTTCAAGAATATTTAGGTTACCGGTAATGACATGAAATAACAGCTGGAAACAACCTTGAACAGACAGACAAACAAAGCAACCGTGATATATTCAAAAGAGATCCAGGCTAGGTGTTGGACCCTTCATTGTAAAACCAAGATTATCATGATTCACTTCACCCCCAGCAAAGACACTAAAATGAATGGTTGTTTTTGCAATTTGGAGAAACATGAATTTTAATAGGACATTTTATTTCATTCAGGCACAGGTACAGTAGACACTTAGGTTCAGACCTGTTAGTAGTAGACTACATAAATTTACAAGCACAGGTACATAAGACAAGTGCCTAAACAAGTTTACAGGTATACTTGCACTTACAGTTACCAGTACACGGCCCTTACTCACATAAATTACTTGGACCCCAGAAACAATAGACAAGTCTGTGTCCCCATGTCGCCCCTGATGGCACACTGTCTGTCCAGAGGCATGACCTTTACTGTCACAACAATGACTACAAAGAAACCACCTGGATTCAACCTTGGACTGGCAAACAAAACAAGCCACATGCCCGAGAGGCCACATGTGTTGTAACTGTATCCATAGACAGAGTTTGGTTATGGCATTAAGCATCAGGGCTGCGTATTACTGCTTCTGCTACACAGTATAATGCATTGTTGAACACCAATAAACTAGCCTATGTAACCCAAGCTCCGGGGGGCTCCCTACATAGTCCACCACCCGGGGGCCGGCTGGATGTTGGGCGGCCGGCAAAAGCGATTTAATCAGGCTACCAATAAACAGTACATGTTGATTGGTTATCAAGACATTCAAGTGATATTTCCCTGATGCCAACAAAGTATTTAGAAGGAAACGTATAGTGTGTGAATTTGTTTATTTCCGCCAGACTTAATTTTGTGGTAGGAGGGGAAATGAGGCTATTGCAGTGCTTCAAGTTTGCAGCTGAAACTACACTTCATTAGGAATAACGTTACATCAATTTAATTCAATTCAATTTGACAAAATCGTACAAAAGCAGGGATTGACTAATGCACCCCTGAATCGTGCTTCGATTTTTACAAAGATTGATTTGTAAAAATCAAGTAATCAAGTAAACAAAACACATGTATTATTAATAGAACTGTATATAGTCACTGTGCTGTGAACATTTCAAAATTTTCACTATTTTTCATTTGAATACTGTATATCTCTATCAACAACATGACATATATAAGTAAGAATTATAAATAAACAAAAAATTGCAAATTACAAAAACACACAGGGCTTTGTTGTTTTCCATATATTGAATACTAGTATTCTGGCTGAAGACAAGACGCTGACACATTTGTTCCTTCCGTGATGAAACAGACTGGAACCGTGGAGAGAAGCCAAGTCTAGCGGAAGTTCAAAATGTCTGGCCATAAATTTTGTTTCCTTTTCGTCAGAAATATATGAGTATTTCAGACGCGTCTTAAATAATTTATAACATGCGCAAGGCGCTTGGAAATCATACATATATAAAGGCACAAAGCCATACATGGATCTTTTACAATCGGGATGAATATTATTGTGCCCCCCTCCCTCTTCAGTCCTCATCATATTTTTCGGAAGAAGAAAACGAGACTTGTGGCGCAGACATATGAATTATTTTTTGGAATAAAAGAAATCCAGCTGAGTCTACGCATCATTTTCTCCCTAAACCTTCCCTGTATTATCTGCTTTTAGGTGCATATAATTTCCTTACTCACCTTTCTCTCCTTAAGAAGGAGATCTTGAGATTTGGGCAGCAGAAATCAGCCTAAGATGAAAACATTAGATGTTGGTCACTGCAGCAGCTGAAGAAAAAGGACCGGACCAATGTCTGCTGAATTATCCAATGAGAAGGTTTGTAACATAATCACGGCGAAAATTGACCAATCACAGCAGGTATAGCTTTTCATTCTGCTGGGGAATAGCTTCCGGTGTCTGGTTCAGTCCACTTTGCTCGAGGGGGTGGGATTGATTTTATTTCCTGCAGCTTTGAGTTGCAGTTGAGTCGAAGTTGAAATTAAACTGGAACGAATCATCATTAAATTTTTGTATACGCTGACTTAGACAGCCATGAGATTCCGCATATCATTTGTTTTGCTTCTGGGTTTGTTTGTTTCTTTGTTTGTTTTTATTATTTCTTTGTTTTTTTATAAAGCACCTTGCATCTAGTCCTGCAGGCATTGAGAATCTATGCTTTTAGTATGTTTTTACAAAGTATCTGTTTAATATGATGATGTCCTTGATTGTACTTTCTATAAAGTCTAAATGCAATGTGTAGGAAAGCCCCCACCCCATAGTGGTACAGCCTATGTAAGAATCATGTTCAACAGCGCACCTTGCGGAATCAAGGTAACTTGCACTCATGGGTTAGATGCAGGAAACTTCCAAATGGGCAGTCAAAAGACTCACCATCATCTCATCGTACCAAGGAGGTTGATGATACCAAGGACCAATGTCCTTGATGATACGTATTCAGCCCCGCAAAATGTACACGGCGTAGCGGCAGCGTTCTCGACTCGGAACCGGAACCAGATGCCCCGGGTTCGAGTCCTGACATGCCACCGATCTTGTGCCCTTGGGAAAGGCACTTTACACGACTTTCCTCACTTCGCTCAGGTGTAAATGAGTATTGTACTGTCCCTGCGTTGGTGGCGGCATTGATATAAGTTGAAAAACTTGAGTGTGTCGTCACCACGTCTTGTGATTACATGTTTCGGAATAAATAAAAAAAATGTACACCTGACTCAACTATCGCCCATCTTAAAAAAAAAATAATAATACAACCAAGAGAGTTGTTTATTGCAAATACATATAATGGATTGCACTAAAACGTCACGTAGATATACTATTTCAAATAACATATTAAAAGGGCCTGCAAGGGGGGGGGGGATTTGACCATATTTTCACAGTAGAAGCTATGAATATATGTCCATCGACCAGACATGGACGTCGACTGACGATGTTGTGGAGTCTAAGCAAGCGGTACCAAGTAAACATCCGTCGCATAACAGTACTACGAGGTCTTTAATGGGGGCCCGCAAGCCCTTTTCCGTAGAGCGTAATCGGCCGTTTTAATTCTACGTAGAGCGAAGACGGACCGCTCTAATATTTTTGCGTAGAGCGTATTCGCCGTTTGAATTCTACGTAATGCGTTGTAGCCACTTGGAATCTATCGTTAAGCGTAATGGAGAGGTTTCCGAATTCAGCGTAGAACGTTGTCGGGACCCCCCCCCCCCTTGCAGGCCCTTTTAATATGTTATTTGCTTCAGTCATATATGTATAATGTCAAGGCCGGCTACTCTCTCCTGGCAGCCAGGTTCAGCCTTACTAAATAGCGCTCCTAGCGGGCTTCCCAGCAGTGCCGAATTAATAAATGAGAGATTGTGTAACACAATGTTACACAGCTATCAGGACAAGGTTAGGGATTTAAACCCGGAACCTCCTGATTCTGGGCCAAACACTCCATTACGCCACACGGTGTTCTTGTATATTAGATATTTCCATGGTTACCAGAAATCAGGTCACAGAGTCAATGGATAAAACTGGAAAAGAGTATTTACCAATACATTAAGCAAAAGGTCATACCTTATCCTTCCTGTCAAGCACTTAGGCACCAACAAAATAAAACAACGTTATACAACAGCCATCTAAAGTTCACAAAGAGGCCAAACCTTTCACCTGTCGTCTTAAGGTCTTACAATGATAAGCACAGACTTTGATGTCTTCGGATGCCTTAAGCTTCCAATTTTATCTTCTTAAACGATGAAAGACTAATACCCTTTTAGCATGGTAGCTTAATACTAACGCAATACTAAGAAACATAACGGGCATACTATAAGAGAGATACCGCGTATGTCTTTCTTATGTATTATGTGCATCCCTGGTCTTTAGACCAAGAACTAATAATATCCCACAGAAGTAAGGGGGTTGCTCAGTAGTTGTATCCGCCCGGTGGATCCTGTATTCAGATGTACATTTCCGGGAAAGTGATATCAAAAAGGTCTTAATGAGATTATTATTTAATTACAGGCATGCCTGTTCACGTGTATACGGAAAACGTAGCCCTAAAACTGTATACGAGTACATGTTTGGGGCACTTGTTTGTGTACTTTGTATCTATATCAAGCTACAACTGAACAATATATCACATCTAGGACGTCACGTTACATTAGGGCACGTGACACGGTGAGCAGTGGATTAAATGTCGCAGTAAGTCTGTGGTACCCCCGGCTCTATTCAGGGATGGTTGTTCAGGCAAACTTAAAATTATTCACAAGTTTGTGCTGAAAACTGTGCATCATACAGTATGTAAGTCCTAAATGTAAGGACATGGTCACAGAAGTGTCACAGAGATTGTTTTAAAAAAAAGTTAAATGGCCATTTTCGGTGGGAAAAAAAATTATTCACATAATATAGTTATATTCGAGATGTTAGCCATGGATTGAACTGGAAAACGTTCTCTTCAGTTTGTTCCGTCTCTCAAGCGTCTGCAGTATCGGTATCCGGCCTGCGAGGGCTACGCGCTAGCCTGAAGAGTAAGAGACGGCTCGATATGATCATCAGTATCAGCAGACCGCTTGTCGTCACTGCAAATATAATGATCATCATTTGCGATATCGGAACCCCTTTGGCCATCGTAATCTTACTGTCCGATTCGTTGGTAGGAAACCAATCATTCACCGTGGTAATGCCAGAAGATTCAACCACATTCGTATTGTCCTGTGTTGGCCTTTGTTCAGGGTTGTAGTACTGGCTGACATGTATGGACTTAGTCACGTCTGTGGAGACGTCAAACTTGCGATGAGCTGTTGTGCCCCCGCCTGGATTCTCACAGTCCGCCGGTTGGATGGGCACACTTGATAAGAGGACCTGGTTCTGTCCATCACCAAGGTTACACGACAGACTTCCGTGGTCTAGATTTTCAACAAGAAAACGTGCCGAGCATGACAAACAACGAGTCTTATCTTTTTCCTCACAGGAGTGCAAGCACTTCATCTTGACAATCAGCCAAGAAAGGTCGCAGTTGCACCGAAACGGGTTCCCGAAGATTACTCCCTCAGTCACTTGTGGCCATCCGAGCTCGCCTGGCGAAATCGACGATAGTTCGTTGTAACGTACATCTACGCGTTTCAGCTTAGGCAGGTGCTCTATAACAATGTCTAGCTTCACATGATGCAAACGGTTGTGTGCGAGACTAAGGGTTTCCAAAGCTGGCAAATTCCGCAGAGATTCCCAGAATATGAACTCGATAGAGTTCCAGGCTAGGTCCAGGGTGAAGAGACGCGGCAATGTCGGCAGATGTGTGAGATTTCTGATGTGGTTGTGATTAACTTCGAGTCGCGCAGCTTCGGACGGTATATCATAATAAGGAAATGTTCTAAGATTCAGTCTGGTACACGTAACATATGTTCCAGTGAGAATCTTGTTGACTTCACATTTCTCTTGGAGACAAAAACATTCTGAGCTCAGTTTTCCCAAAACAGCGAGCAACAAAAACAGTCCACTCACTTTCATGTTTAACCAGAGGAAGTGATGGTTTGTAGGCAGACGATAAAAACTGACGACAAAAACTAACCGTTCATCATAGTGGCGGCACTCTCCGTATCAATGATTTCTGATATTTTACTATGGTTGACAATCTTTAACATCCTGGATCAGTCAGCGCTTGTGCTACATCAGTCTAAATGTGACAGCTTCCCTGTACACAAGCGTGAAGCATTGGCGTTGTGGCGAGACAGGATAAAAATGAATAAATGATTAAATGAGTAGAGTTTATGCAAGTCGCTTGCTTCTTCGAGTGTCGAAATAAAAGATTTGGACGGCTCGCAGACCTGTTAAATTTGTTACACAACAGCTGTTATCAGGCTGGCTCACGACACTGTGGGCTGTGCACTACTTTCAGGAAGGGGGGTATCCTGATTGTGAATTATGATATTGTGACATCATGTCACATCACCCATCTTTCTCTTGTTACTCTTAACAGTCCTGTTAATGTGATATCTGAAAATTTCGGTAGTTGTGATCATCATCATGCCATTTGCAATCTCTGATTTCTTGTTGTCACTTTTACGTGTTTCGCATGTTGTCACGATTTCTCTGGTTAATTCAAATAAACACACCGAAGATATATGTACGTCGATGAATTAAATACTGACAGGTGCACTATGATTTGTCTTCCCAATCAGTGTTCTTTTCTACGAACTTATACATAACTCTGGCGCATCTACCTCAGACATAAAGTAATTTTACTGTTTTGTAATCTAAAATACTAGACACAAGACGCTGTCAGATTGTTTTTTCTTGAGGATATACGTGAGGTATCAGCTGCAGATTGCGTCTGTGTTGTGTACTAGAAACTCTCATAACATAACTTTTTACCTTGCCTCTGGATCAGAGGACTGCTAGAAGTGCGAATTCAGGGGTGTCTAGTATACATAGCAATTTTACTGAATACAGTGAAACTTCATTTGTATACTAGGACAAATAGCGGATATGCATACTAGTAGTATGTTGACTGAGATGATTAGCTGTTTTTCAATATTGGGAAAACAAGAAACTATGTACGGTGATAACTGATATACAGGCCTAAAACTGCATGCATATATAATAAGGAGAAAATCGAAACTCACGATCGTAAGCTATAGGCACCCCTAGCCTGGCCTTAGCCAGTATACCTGTATCTACGGTAGCTGTAAACTCATACGTAAACTCAACGTCATTCAGGTCACAGAGAATCAGGTCCAAGTCCTGGTGTACGTATGTACATGTACGTCACCGTCAGATTTTATCAGTCTGTTATTCGTGTCTTCTAAAAATAGATCCGAACCATTCCTGTAGTATCAGTGTACTGTAATGTATCTGCCCAACAGGCATATTTACTCCAGCTGTAAAACTCAGCGTATCGTCGTCATCAAACAGGTGAACAAATCAGGTTCAAGACCTTCTTTACGTCATCACATTTTTTACTACTCCGTAATCCATCTATTCTGCGCTGGGCAATGTATCTTTTCTTTGCCTGGCTAGCGCCGACGGGTTAGGTCGCATCTGAGATTTATGAAGAACTACGGGAAATGGTAACCTCCAGTGAGGCAGTGCTCAGTCGTCGTATAGTGCGACTATAGGGGTGATAATTTTTAAGAAGAGAAAAACAGCGTCCGGGAAAGTTGGGGATTTGTATCGCTCTGAAATGTTGATTTAAGAGGAAAATTGCTTCAACTCAAAGCTATGGAAAATTCCTATCACATGCATCGTTTCAATTCAATGCAACGTAGACGCGGTTTTTGAACATTTTGATTTGAGTCCACGTTGACGCTTGGACAAAGATATATAGGATATCCTTAGACACAGCTTTTGAAGGTGAGCAACGCAGAAAATGGACGTTCAAAGACACCAAAACGCCCGTCTGACGACCAGGCTAGACTTGGCTGCTCATCTCCAAGTCTACACGTTTGCGACCGTGCTTGAAGGCCTGGAAATGAGAATATGTCTCGCCGCTGCAAGAGGCAACCGTAGACATGATGCAGCAGAGCCAACCTCAAAACAATGAAATACGAACACATGCAGTGACTCAACATGTGAGAGTGCGTGCTTCATTCTTCGAACCCAGAACTTACATTCCCGCCAGGCCTCGAAATTAACTTTTCTTCCTATTGTCCCATTTCTGTCCCAAAATGAATTTCAATTGTCCCGAAGTGAAGATTAACTGTCCCAACCTGTTTTTTTAAATAATCGTATGATTTTTGAACTTGAAGTCAACTTAAGCTTTCTAGTTTGCTACTGTTCACTCCCACGCGCACTATGATTGCAGAGTAGACAGGAAATTCGGGGGGACTTTTCTGGTTTCGAAAGCCGGGACGTGTGCCTGATAAACAAAAGAAGGGCTGACATTCTGATGTTGATTATTTTTCTATTGTCCCAAAAATGTCCCAAAGTATCTTTTAAGTTGTCCCAGCCTATATTTTAGCGGTCAGTGACCATAGGACCACCTTTAATTTCGAGCGCTGCCTGCGCTGCCCACCGGCCTGGAGTATCCACCTACACAGAACATTATCGACGGACTTCCAAGAATTGGGAGGGTGAGGGAAGAGGGCCCTCACACCGCGACCTCATGAGGCTTCCTTTTACCCTAGATTCTTCCAAAAGTGGAGAAATTCAGATTGACTACTACTAACCATGTTCGTCCACGGGTGGACACACTTATGATTTATCTAACCATAATTTCAAACCTCAGAAAGTCAGTATGTTTTATTTTCAAACACTCCACACTATCCCCACACTTGGTCACTCTGCTGTCTTGCATTACCCTCACATACGTATTAAAAACACTAGATTATTGATAGTGGGAAGAAATTATAGTATCTATTCTAAAAATAAATTTACACTAGCTAGTTTAATTAGTGGCCAAACTACTGTATCCAATCCAGGCAAAACATGGCAGTAGGATAACAAGGCTCACAGTCGCACAGTGTGACAAATAGTGTGGAGTCGTTCTTTACGTCACATGTTGTGGTATGATTTGCGTGTTCATACTTTGTAAGGATCCGAGAAACTTATATGATAGTTTACAAGACATGCTAGATAGATAACTTTACCTTCTTTAATACAAAAAAAAAATTCTTTGAGGTAATTGCCCGTCAGCCGACACACGCCTCTCTTAAGACAGAAAATTGCAAGCATGACAGAACAATTTATTGTGCACTCCTGGACCTATAGAAATACATAGATCATGTACTTTTGCTTGTCAATTCCCCCTTTGTGTCTGACATGTTGACATATAGTGGTCCCTGTGAGAGACAGTTACTTACGACGCCTGGGCAACTGCTCAAAACATGAGAGGACGTCATAATAAAAGAGGATGTGCGGGTTTCGATTGATCCGCCCCCTCAGCTGCCCACGCCCAGGCTACTATTGGTCTGACGGCGGAAGAAAAAATAAGCCGGACCCGCATATATAACCCGAGCCGATCTGATGGATAGCTAGACAGGACCTGGGCCGTAAGAGAGGGAAAGGACACCGCGAGAGACAGCCTGAGACCACGCACCGACGGGGACCCGCTCGCGCCGAGGAAGCTCGACAAAAACCACCGGAGACGAAAAACAACTCACAGGTAAGATATTCATAGTTCATTTTGCTTTCTTGCGACATGTACACTTTATCACGAAACTTTGTAGAACATCGCAAAAAACAGAACTCACGGATAAGGCATTTATAGTTCAGCTTTAGCTCGTTTGCGCTGAACATCACGAATTGACACGAACGGACCTGTCCTTGGTGCTGAAATCATGCGAGTACAAAAACGGACCTGTCCTTGGTGCTGAAATCATGCAAGTACAAAAACAGACCTGTTCTTGGTGCTGAAAATCATACAAATACAAAAACGGACCTGTCCTTATTGTTGTACACCATAAAAGGACAGTCAAACAGACCTGTCCATGGTGATGAACATCATGCAAGGACGACATACATGTAAATAGACCTGTCCTCGATGCTGAGCGTCATACCAGAATTTTAAACGGGCCGGTCCTTGGTGCTGGACATCGTAAATGGACAGTTGAATAGACCTGTCCTTGGTGCCGAACGTCATACACACAAACAGTCAATTCTACTGACAAAAAAAAAAGAAAGTGACGATTTTACCCTGTCATATTTTCAAAATACACTTAGTTATCACAAAGAGGTTGAAAATCAAATTCTCATCTCCTTGAGTATCAATGAAATACGTTTGAACTACTTGTAAGATTTGCGGTCTCTCCTTGATCAACGCCTCTGTGGACAGAGACTGAGTATAATTCAGGTGTCTGACTGTACAGGACGTACCATGATTGCATGATCACTGGTATCGATATATGGGAGTATAGATATAGCAATTCCGTGCAGTGCCAAGGATACAGCCGTGTAATCGTGTCCTGTCATTTTCCTAATGCGTCGGATGTGTTTACAAGTAAAAAGTACCTCCCAAATCATGCGCCCACTGATATCCGTTTTGTGATGAGGATTCTTTTGCATTGTCAAGGGTACGGCCGTATAATTGTGCCTTGTCATCTTCCTAATGCGTCGGATACGCTTACAAGTAAAATTACCTCCCAAACTATTTTCAAATCTTGCGCCCACTTATATCCGTTTTGTGATGAAAATTTTGTACAGTGCCTAGGATACAGTCATGTAATCATGTCTTGTCATTTTCCTAATGTGTCGGATGGTTTTACAAGTAAAATTACCTCCCAAATCATTTTCAAATGATGCGGCCACTGATATCCGTTTTGTGGTGGGGATTTTTTTTATCTTTAGATGTCACAGCTGCGATATAATAATGCATTCTTAATAATCATTTTCCGATATCGTATCAAAAATTGTATTTTCAAACGGGTATCATTTCAATGCCCTTTCATCCTTAAGGTTGACGAGTAGTTACAAACTCTTACTAATAGTCGGTGCGAGTAATTTCTTTCTTCCAATTACTTTCCGTTTTAGTAACGTTCAAAATTTTACATTCTTGGTGTCATTTTCTTACAAGCGACGCCCGTTTGTCATCTTGAGGTAAGAGGTTCCCATGGGACAAAAATAGACAATTAAGCTTCGTCAAGTGGGTCATCTTAAGGGCTCTACCTGCTCTACTTGAAGACATGAAACCAAAATACGTGGGCAGTTCTCATTAGATATCCTGACAAGGTCTGAGTTGACATTCCATGCCAAAGGAAGCACTAGAACTGACTTCATGATCCACACAGTTTTGGTCAGGGTTTTGGCCTCTTCTTCGTCCGTCTTTTTCTTCCCCTATCCTACTGATATTCAGGACGTCAAGTGCGAGAAAATAGCGAAAAAGTCGTCGAGAAATATTTGAAATTTGTTGGTTTGATGAATGCTTCATAGTTTATGTGTCATGCCCCGAAATGTGAGTTATTCTCTCTGGTCTCCTCTGTACTGCTGTATGAAGTGACACTAGAAATGGCGTCAGAAGCATTAAAAACATAAATCTTCCGCTAAAATTGCCAAAGGTCCATCCAGCTCATCCTACACTTAGTACAGTTTCAAAACTTTGTACCTGGCTTGAAAGATAAAAAGGAGGAGACGACGAAATATAAGTCCTTAATACTAGATATCACTGTCAATCCTGGTGGTTGTAAATAATCCAAAGGATGACGCAAGTATTGACATCATCACTGCTAAGCCAACTAATCATCCGACTTTTACTGTGCTTACGTTTGCTTTATCTTTAAAAAACAGCTGCTCTTTTCGCACTTCGTATGATTTCAACCATGTCATTAATCGTTTTAAAAGGCGCCAGCTTTGTAATTTTGGTATGTAAAACTAACCCGAGAGAGAAATAAATGTCTTTCCTCTTTTTAAACTGTCGGCACCGTTTGGATTCCAAGAAGGATTAGATATAGATTTGAGTTCTGATCCCTTCTAAACGGTGTGCTTAATACTTGTGACATTTACTGGCGTTTTGATCCATACCTTCTTCTGTTTGGTGCCCGTTTTCTGAAAGCTGTAAACTATTGTACCCGGCGGGGCATCGGTTTCGAAGTGTGACTGCAGCTTTTACCATCAACTTCAACCTCTGCTTGGAAACTAGCATATCTGCCAGAAGTACAAAAAGTTTTGCCTTGCTTAGAAACAAATACACGTGTGTTAATTTCCGCCCACCGTGTCATATGTGAATCAAAGCCACCAAGTTACTATATAAAAAATGAGTCGTGTAACAATTTCTATCAGTCGACGAGCCAATTTGTTTCCTTCTAGGTACGTAAGATTTGATCAGCAATGAGACGGAGCTCGTGTGGATTGCCACGGTGCACGCCTACATGTACATGTCTATATAATACGCCCACGTGTAACCTGGAACCCCGATTTCTGCCAGGGCCTACACGAGGATAGGTCTTCGCAATTCGGCACTAAAGCCAACATGTCACAAAGAAAAGTTTCAGACAATCCTCTGGGGAAGACCGTATGTAGGGCTGTTAACTGGATTCAGCTAGACCATAGGTCAGGGTGAGATTAGTTAGTTGGCCAGGCGGGATATAGCAGCTTATTACTAACCTCCTTCGCAGACTTCTGATGCGGTGGCGTTAATATTTTTCGGGGAGCGACGAGAGTTATGTGCCGCGGAAGGAAGGTTTTGCCGCCGAGGGACTTTGCCTGAGAGAGACGGTTTATATTGAAGCGCGGAAACCGTCTCTCTCCAGCAAAGTCCCTCGGCAAAACCGTCCCTCTGCGGCATAACCTGCGTCGCTCCCCGAAAAAAATTAACGCCACCGCATCAGAAGTCTGCGAAGGAGGCTACTGGTGATGCTGAGTATTGCTGGTGAAAATGTCCTTCGCACACTCGTCGGGTGAGTTATTTTTCTGCTGTATGACGCTGGCTGAGGACGGGGTGCCTGTGTTTACACAAGCTCTCGGTCGGGAGTTAATGACCCCCACCCAGAGCTAAGGTGGGGAGCGGCAACCTTATGGGCGGGTGGTCGCCAGGAGCGCGATTCGGCAAGTTTATCATCAAAGATGTTGCCAACTTTCCTGTATTGATTTCCCTACAGGTACAGCACGGCATGTGTGGCACACGAGCTACCGTTATCATCCTAATGATGTCCCTTGTGGCTTCTTCCGCAGCAGAGGCAAGTAACGAGGTAAAAATATTAGACTTGAATCACTCGATCCGTGACTATACTCCATAGGGGACGTAGATATAGCTAATCAAGTAAAGAAACAGGATTTTCTACTGAAATTTCAAGGGAAATTTTATCTCCTAGCTGGGTCTAAATCAAATATGGAATAAAACGTGCCTAAAGTAAAGAAGTTAGTCTCTAACGAGTTGAAGAACTATGTGTTTTCAGCGGGTACATGTAGTACAGCCTTGAAACTTCTCGCGTTTCGTTCCGTAAACTTTCCTAACTTTAAAAGTCAAGACGCTGCATGCTTAGTATATTAGTGTAAGGCACAGTCAACATTCGTTGTTCGAATTTGTGGTAGAACTTTCAGCGAGGGCATGGCAGAACCGAATGACAACAGGGACATGCGGCAACATTTCCCGTCACAAATCAAGGCAGTTTTAATTTTGTACGATACTGTCTGTCGCAAGAATGTCCTCAATTTGCTGTCGTAAACCTGTCGTGGGACGCAAATGACGGCGTCGTTATCGACCGTTAAAATACCCGAGACGTCCGTTTCGTCAACAATCTGTCAGGCTTCAGAAGGGACTGGGAAGAGTAGAAATTGACCAAATAGACAGATAACATTCCAGGGGAGTTGGTCCACTAAAAAGAGTACATTTGCCAGACGCGGACCAACTCCCCGAAGCCTAGTAGAGGCTACATAATCTCCAAGCAGATCGTTTGGTGGCTGCAAAGACAGAATCAAGTTGGCCAGGCAGTATCCATTTGCCAGACAATTACCATTTCGCCACCCACTAGCTACCCAAGTAGTGAGTGGCAAAATGGTAACAGCCTGGCCAATTTGATTCTGTCTTTGCAGCAAAAGATCTAGATCTGCTTGGAGATTAGAGGCTATCGTTTTATGACTAGAACTGATTCTTTTGTTCTCACAGGACGGTGACAGACAGGCCATCGGACTGAGAGTGCATCGCATCGGTAAATACATGGCCTTTTTTTGCATAACAAAGACGCATGGATACAAAATTGCACAAAAGTAAAATATACATGATGTTGCATATACATAAACAATTAGTAGAAAGAAACGGTGAGTCGAAAAAAAAAGTATCACGATATCACGAGGAAACCACATCCTTTAAGGGGGAAAGACATGACTGGGTAGCCCTAGCCTCTACCAGGCTTCGGGAGGCGGAGGAAAAAAGTAGAAATTGGCCAAATAGAGAGATAACATGCCAGAGGAGTTGGTTTGCGGCAAACTGTACTTTCTAGCGGACCAACTTCCTCCGCATGTTATCTCTCCATTTGGCACTCTTTCCAGCGACCTCCCGAAGCCTGGTAGAGGCTAGGTAGCCCGGCCCCCTCACATAAACACATCATTCCCGGTTGCCTCCAGGCGACTGCGCCGAGACAGTTTTCCGGCGCTGCTCGGGCCTGCTGGAGGCGATGTACCGGCTTCCCGCCAGCGAGCTGCGAGGTCTGGCCGGCATGCACCGCTTCTGCAACACGGAACAGGTACAAATATACATCTGAAAACATTTTGCCGCTGTTACCCGCAAGCTATGATGCTGCATGTTTACAGTCCTGTTCCTTTAATGTGCCATTGATTATGCGATGTGCTATTTTGTTTTGCCATCCGCTGTCTACAATGTATATTCTTGAGTCCAGACGATAGCCTATTTCGAAGAATAGTGGCTTCGCTTTTGGGAGGTCGCAGCTTCATACAAAAGACTTTTCTTGGTACATTGTACATTCTGGTTGGTACACCCCAGTGTACTAGCCCAAAAACTTAGGGCTATAGAAACTATCCTGTACATGTACTGCCCTATAAACTGAAAGGCCGGGAAATATTTAAACTTTTTCAACTTAACTTTTATGTTCCTACCCAGGCGTACATGCGATGTGTGGCCAAGGCACACCACTGCCATACCGATGAGATGACTGCAGTCAAGCGCCTGGTGGTGGGCCTGTCCATGGTGGCTACACACCCCTACTGCCCGAACATGGACTATTCCACGGTTCTCCAGTACACCGGAGGTTAGAAGAACACTCTTTTACCATCTGTTTACTGTCCTTTTTGACTTTTGAAGAGGATTAATGAAAAGTTACAATCACTTTCAGAAAATGTTACTTTCTGTGAAATCTAAAAGTGTATAAACTACCACAAGTTGCTGTCACCATGGCTGTTTCAAAGAAGACTGAAAAATATCAATTCTGGCTTTCTGTATTTAACTTTGCTTTGTACCCATTTTTCCCTCAGAAATCTCGCTCCAGTGCACTAGCCTGGATGTGGAGATGTGCCTGATACACGAGCTGACCCGTACCGGAGCCGGCTGGGACCACTGTGCCACCCGCCCCATGTCCTTCAAGTGCTTCATGGACCACTGTCTGCCGGACAACCCAACTCCCTCCCAGCTCTCAGCCGCCAGCATGATGGCCAAGGTCATGGGAGCGACCTTCAGGGAAGACACCTGTCAGCAAGAGGAGCACCTCTCTCCGGACTATGACCTGTCTGACTTGTACGAAGGATAGAGGAGGCATTCAACAGCATCAAAACACAACATTTTCTGATTATATTCGACAATGATAACATTATTGAATCAACATACACCTTTGCGCCAAAAAATCACCCTTCTCTTGTTTAATTGAACATTGAGCTTTCAAAAAATGTCTCCAGATTTTTTATTATCCAGATAATGTCTCAGTGCACATGGCAGTGAGTTTGGACACTGCTACTGTATTTGCCAAAGAAGAAAATGTTGTATTTTGGTGTTGTGTCTGCTTGGATGTTGACCCTCAATTTGCCAAATGTAGTGTATTTCAACCAGACGGAATAATTATCACTATAGACTCTGGTAAGACAGCTTAAAGAATGTGATCGTCTATATCTTGATTATAAAAAGATTATATGTCAGAAAGCTTAAAATTTTATCTTCAAAGATGTACCTCCCTTTGCACAGGGAAAACATAGCTTAGGACATTCCTTGGAGAGAATATATAGTTTCCATGGAGAAAAAATGGCTCTGCTCCTGAGACGTTGCCAAAAAAAGTGTAACAGTATCTTTCTGCATGTCCTTGTCAGTCGGGTAAAACATTTATTTCACAAATATCTTCTCTTAATTTCTGCTCCTTGAGTTCATAGTGGTCTATCACAGTGTTAGGGTACTAAATATTTCTTAAAACTTTTAAACAGACAATCACTAGATGCTCATTGTATCATCTTTATACATATAGAAGTCCATTGTGTTGAACTGTTCCTTCTTTCAGTATGTATGATTCCATCCATGAGTCTGACTGTAGAGATTTAGTTCTGTTCCCTGGTGTTGTCTGGTTCTGTGAAAGTCCTGATGAAGATTCTCACTATCTCAAACAGCACCTAGAGTGTAAACAAGAAACACTAGGTGAGCGAAAAAAAACAATATCTGTCTAAATACTGTAAACATTTATGTTTGTGGCAAGAATAAAACTAGCAAACCAGCATCAGGGTTAGTCCACTAAGGTCTTGGAACTTGAGACTACTATGATTTTTTTTCTACAGCTCCTTTTGGAGATATGGTTTCATCTTTATTCTTATAACATGTAGGGAAGTGGTAAGTACAGAAGAAGCGTGGGGTGTGGCTCTCCCAAACACGGGACCTCCATTTAACGTCCTATCCGAGGGACATCCTTAACCAAAGCTAGGTACTCATTTCCACCTGAGTGAAGTGAGGAAAGTCATGTAAAGTGCCTTTCCCAAGAGCACAAGATTGGTGGCATCGGGCAGGATTCGAGCCTGGGTCTTCTGGGGTCTGAGCCGAACCCGTTACGCCACACGACCCAACTCGACACAAGACTTTTTAAGTAAAAGGAAGTCTGAATCATTGGGCAGTCCATAGAGACAGGACAAGATAATAGCTCATGATGACCTAAGTGACCTCATGTGAGCAACCCATCTCTCTTTCAAGGGCATTCATCAATAACTGGCTTCAAAAATCAGCCGACTTGATACAAAGTCCTCCTACACACTTTCCCATCAATAAGTCTAATACTCTAGTCAATCCCTCCATTTTTCACCTTGTCAATGAACTAAAATGGTTACTTTGTTCTTTGGCATCTTAACATTTTAAACAAAGTTTTTTTGTTTGTGTGGCTCTCCCAAACATGGAACCTCCATTTAACATCTTATCCGAGGGATGTCCCTAACCGAAGCTAGGTACTCATTTACACCTGAGTGAAGTGAGGAAAGTTGTGTAAAGTGCCTTTCCAAAGGGCACAAGATCGGCGGCATCGGGCAGGATTCGAACCCGGGACCTCTCGGGTTTGAGCTGAACACTCTACTGTTACACCACACGACTGTTTGACAGTATTTTCTCTACCTCTATTGCAATGAGGGCGATGATCATCCACTCCAGTCGGAGGCTGTGCCGCTCGCTCAGGTGTGTTCTCATCAGCTCGGCTAACTCCTGGCAGTGGCGCAGTTTTTCATTCACCACCTGAGGAACATCACACACATACGTACAAATATACAAACAAAGGTTTAACAATCACTTCAGCATTGCTACTGTCACTGCGCTACTTCTTATCCAACGAACTTTGAATTGTAACAGTAAATTTTTGATTGTGGAGTTCAGTATACTTTCCTGCCTTTGATTGCAATTTTTTTAGAACCAGACATCTTTCTATTTTGCAGACAGACTCCTTTTTTCCTTTTTACTGCAAAAACTTCTGACATGAACCCTGAACAAGCATCATTATGGAAATTGTAAGCTGAACCTCTGACAATGATACACATATAATACTTAAAACGCGTTGTTTATTCTTTACTTGAATGTAAAGTAAGTCACCTATTCTAATACCTACCACCAATTTGAATACTAGTAATACCGATTTGAAAATAAATACAAAAAAAAATAATGTAAACTCATTTCCTCTTTATGATCTTTCTTTTTTTTTCATTCTGACCACCACAAATATTCGTCAGGCTGATTTAACCCTGCCCCTACCGTGGTCCTCCCCGGGATGTTGAGGAACCTGCACGTCTTGAGGTACAGGCCCTCCAGGTGTTCCCTGTCCCAGTAGAAGTCAGGTGTGATGAGGAGGTCTGAGCCCAGGTTGATCCTGTACCTGAGATAAAAAAAATTTATTTATTTATTTCTTGTTTTGTTTTATTTCTTAAGCTAGGAATTAGATTTTGACTAAGGGGATTTTTCAATGATTCCTTGGGAGAAAATCCCAAACAAAATCCATTAACATCAAAAACAACTCAATGAAAACTACAACAAAATTATCATATAAAGCTACTCAAATTACAAATTGATACAATATCAAAGTAACTAAAATAACCAACATGATACTTAAGATCATAAAAATCAAAATTAAAAAAAGGTACAGTCAAAGGTAAACTCAAAAGGTTAGAACAAAAGCCTAAGATCAAGCCTAAATGTCAAGGAACGGAAAGACCTTTTGACTCTCTGGAGACAGCCCTGCACAAATGTCTACTTTAGCACTGATACCACAGATAATCTTACAATTACTAGGATCTTCAGTGTTGAGGCTGTAACACTGCCCACATGAAATCAGATCACCAAAGAGCAGCATTCCCACTGGACTTAACTGCATTGGCATTCATTGTTGAGGGAGAAAAGCAAATTTAAGTCCAAGGGCAAACTCAGACTCGCTCAGGAAATTTGAACTCTTTGAAATTTCTTGCATTTTGAGAGGCAAATTTCAACTGAAAGCTATCAAAATACACACTATGTACAATGTTTTCAATGCAACTTAATTTTTCTGAAGTTTAGAGTCATCGTTGATGCTGTAACAAAAATACATTGTACACAAAGGCATTCATTGCTAAGAAATGATGCCAAAGCCCCAGTCTGGTGGGAACGCCGCCCAAGAGGCCTGAAGCATTGATTGTGTTCCACCTACTTGAGAGCAAAGAGCTCGCCAATTTTCTGCATGACCTTGGGCCGTGACATCTTGAGTCGTTTCCCCTCCCTCAGCAGCTATAGGGGCAGGAGAAACATGATTCTGCACTTAGCCCACACCTACGTGGTTCTTACACTACTCTTACAACCTTAACCTGTGGGACAAAAGGCAATTTTCAAATTTGAAAAGTAAACTCTTGGTCAAAAGGATGACCAATGTACATTTGGCTGGTTCTGATGTAAAAGTGGTTAGCGAAAATTGACTACTGTGAAAAGAAGATTGTGTCCTGTGGTATAGATGAAATATTAGCAGCATATTAAATACAAGTTCCACATGTACGTAACATACGTACCTCAGGAATGTACATTATAGAGTCAACATAGTCATCCAGCCAGGCTTCCCAGATAGCAAGTTTCACTGAAAGGGATTCAGTTTACAACTTACTGCATGTAGTCATCGATTGCCAGTCAATTCAGTAAGACTTTTTGACAAAAGCACTAACATTTTTTTAAATCTCATTCTATCCACATCAGCTCTCATGATTCCCCCAAGTATCTAAGACCACAACATTGGAAAAAATATGTGAATACAAAGAGATCTACAAATGTAGAAAAAGTTATCCCCAACGTTTCCATACTTCCAGATGTTCAACTTCAAGATATAATCTTGTGAAGATATTTCGTTCTCAAATTCTAGACTATTTTCCTAACTCTTACAGGAAGTACATACATACCCGATAAAGCCATGGCATTGGAGAATGTGTACTTCTCTAGTATCATATCCAACTCAGCAGCACTGCTGGACAGCTGAATGTCTCCATTGGACAGCAGCGTGCTGTTCCTGTGGACAGCACAATATATAGTTCCAGTAACTTCTACACTCTCAAACCAAGACATTTCCCCATTATATATATGCATTACAAAACACTGTATATATTATTCTTAGGATTATACATCAGAGCCAATATTGTTTAGAATAAGAGGGAAAAGAGCCATAGATATAGCTAGATTAACGTACTGTGTGTAGGAGTAGTTCATTTGTTCGTTCTCCCACTCGACCAGGGCGATGTTGTAAGGGTTACGTTCATACTGCTCCAACATCTGCCGTACCTCTCGCATCTGTGGTGTAACAGGAACAGAAAGGAATCGGACACTACAGCTGGTCAGAAAACTATCATGTCTTAGGGATGTGGTGATAAACAAGACCATAATGGCTTGCAGCCTTGGTACACATGCAAAAACTCCCCTAATAGTAATATTGAAATAGAAAAAATTGTGTGGCACTTACAGTTTGGTCTTCCACATTCCAGAATACGACCATGCCATCTCTGAAACAGGAAAGGAACTAAAGTAACATCTAAAAGAGTGCTACCTCCAAGAAGCATTTGTTGGTGTGTGTGTCTTTGTAAATACTTGTATGTAAATTTGCGCGTAAAGAGACAAATGACAAATATAAATTTGAGAAATGCATACACAAAACCTTAGGCAGCTGCAAACAGCGGCCGTGTTACCTGAAGAAGAAGATGTCCCCCTGTGTGGACCGTCTGTCCACCTGTCCTCCGTCAGACTGTGGTTCAGGGTCATGGCGCACGTGAACAACATCAAACGCATCTGGAACAACCAACAGCTTTTCAAATGTCAAGCATAAATTCATGAAGCTCAGTACTCAACATTGATATGACTGTGTTAGTGTGTATACAGACTTGAAAGTTTCCAACATCAGTTTAAAGATGGTAGTATTTTCTCAGACCTTGTGGCATCTTCATGACTCTAAAGATGTCCAGTCTCCTGATGTCTGTCTCTAGTCCCTCCAGATCATACTCCTCTGCCGTGGTGTATGCTATACACACCTGCATCTGCTCAGGAAAGACAAGTATGCCACTTTATTAACAAGGTGGATATGATTGAGAAAAATTGCCAAGATGCAACAATCAACGTTCTATATGTACGTTCAGCAGCATGAGTTAGTACTTATTAATTAATTTCCATACAAATGGGTAGCCTGGGTGCCAGACTGTTTCCAGGGCCTGCACATACAGGCCAGTTGCTCAGCTCCAGGGCCCACATGCCCACAAGCAAATTACTAAGTATACCACAAGCCCCCTCTCGGGGCCTAGTGTGTTACTTAAAAAGTAGTTGTGGGTCTGCCATCCAGGCTAATGAACACGTTAAATGCTGACCTTCTCTTTTGGTGCCTTGGCAGCTGCCAGTGCCGGTTGTTTGGTCCTGGTTCTCACTACAGGTCTCCCTTTGGTTTCCACATCACTCACTCTTGTTGTCAACATCCTACAAGCTTGACTTAGATCTTTTTCCTTCACATTCAAAACATTCCTACACAAAATACGTCTGTTGTTTCTTGCAGTACAATTCAAAGTGAACGGGGAATGCTTTCTGACAAAATGGAATGAAGAGTGGAGATTTTTCTTAAGACAGTCTTCATGAGATAATTTCTTGCAATTATACCCTGTAGACAGAAGTGAACTTCTTTGAAGATCTGTGTGACCTAACTGGCTGATAGCCCTCTGACGAATTAGACCCGAACTGCAGGTAGTCAGCTGGTTGTCGTGTCCATTGGAAAGTCCACGAAAATGACTAGAATTCAGTCTGAATATTGTTCTGTCAAAAGCTGAAGGGATCGTGATATTGGAACCCAGCGATCGGTGGAAAAGTCTTATTCTTGAGAGGAATTTTCCCCTACAGAGGAATCTGGAAATGTTGGAAGTCATATTTTCTTTTTCTCGCAGCACTGGAAAATGACTCGTTGTGACCTCAGTTCTTGGATATAAAAAAGAAACGATTGTGCTGAAAAGTCGGTATAAAGAGACAAGTTACATTAGGTTACATCAAGAAGGTTAAAAATCAAATAAATGTCAAAGCTCCTTGGTTAACGTTACATCTTCTTGGTTTTTTTGTTGGCCCCTCCCCCTCAATGCAGATGACTGGACCTCAAGTTCGGGACGTGGCTTTGGCGTGAATGCCACGTTTTAGAGCGGCCACAAATAAGAATCTCTTGGTGCTACTCACGCTGTGGTCATCACTACAGAACACCGTGAAGTTATTGTGAAACTCTCGGCTGAAGTCATAGAACACATGGGCACAAATGTCAATTTTGCCGCCATCTTGAAAGTGACAAATACAACGCACTGTACAAAAGCGCCGACTAGCGCTTAGAAGGGCATAACAGCTAATGTTAATACATGTACAACATGTATTAGTAACTCAGTGCAGAAACTGCCAGAATTAGCGGTGCCAATCGGATGAAATCACAGAGCCCTTAATGAACAGATGATTGCTGCAATGCCATTAAAGTGTCATGATTAAGAAATGAGTACTTGCCAGAAAGACCAAGAAACTTCTGAATTTGTTCTGATGTCGAAAGTTATGTCATGTAACGTTACAAAATGTGTGATTTTGTCCCATTCATTTATCTGTAACGTCAGTCACGTATACATAGGTTTGACAATAACTTGATTGTGCATTGTTTCAGTGTGGCCACCGACCAGTCCAACATTCTTTAGGACATATACCGGCGCTTCTAACGGTGGCTTTTGGTGCCGCGTTACCTGCCATAAGATATACAATTTTGAGGAGCAATGTCAACGACACAACGGAGACCACATAAAAATGTCAGAGAAGATTAGCCTTATGGATGCTGGCCAAGTTCAACTAGAAGTGTGTTGCTACCTTGACAAAACACGTAATGTGACATGTTCGTAACGTTAAACATATTTATACTTGGTATGTAACGTTACACATTCATCGGAAACATGCGTAACAACTACCCTATGTGGGTGGTTCCATGTCTTGACTTGAAATTCTTTTTATGATCTTTCCGATTACCTTTGACTGATCGATACGGAGTTGTTTCCGTCGCTATGTTTACCCAGGGAGTGAGGCTTTTACATCCACGGTTTACTCGCGATCATAATTTGATTAAATGCGATAAAAGTGAACAAATAGGGCGTTAACGTTTCTTTGATAAGCCGACTGTGGACTTATTGACTGTGCGTAGGTTTGGTTGCCAGATTATCAAATATGGCCCACTGTTTGGGACATAGAAGGCACGTTGCAATTCCGGGCGTTATATTTGATGAACATACTTCTCTTTTTTTTTTTCAAGTTTTGCAAGTAGCGTTAACTTTTACTCAATTTGTAACGGTACAGGTCAACAATGACAATACGTTAAGCTTGAAGCACTCTCTTACCAACGCTGAGATTGATTCGCTACCTTGCAGGTTTTTTAACTCCATTGAATTTTCTTTTATTTACAAGAAATGGTTTCAAAGAGAGATTTTTAACGTATTGGTTAGCAACGCACCTCCAAAACACAATTTTACATTCAGTCATCACCAGGCCCTGCAGTCGAAACTCAACCGCTAGGGGGCAATATTAGACAACAGATGACGATGATGATGATCATGATGGCGGCGGCCATGTGTTATAAAAGTCCTCTATGACCATGTTGCATTTTAGCTAAGAAAAACACCGTTTGTTGCTGCTTTTGAGGACCACTGAGGTACAGGAACGTTTTTGGCAGCTTTCTGGTGCTACCGAACAGCGAAAACATGCGGCAAACGCTTGCAAATCTTGCCGGGGTTATGTTCAGGGGTCGCATGCTGGGCAAGTACCCCATCCGAAGGACTCGCACTTTCCTAGAAAGCGGAGAGATCGTTTTCAAAGACAGAGTGAAGATCATGTCCGTAAACTACAACGTCCCTGGGAAGAACAGCGAAGGCGCGCGGGAGTTTGTGTTCTTCCACCTGCCGCAGGTCCAGTACAAGAACCCGGAAGTTCAAGTCGTGACGTTCAAGAACTTGACTCCTTCTCCTTTCCTCAAGTTTTACTTGGACGACGGTGAACAGGTAAACTATAATTTGTACTCCTCTAGAAATTTTGATACAATAACTTGAGTAAGTACTTTGTGCATGTCTTTCTTAGAATGTGGGGTTTAACCAAAGATATGTCATAAATTCATATTACAAATACGTTACACATGTAACTGTTACTAGTATTACATGTATATAAACAGCATGGGATTTTATTACTTTTCGAAAGTATTTTTGGTGTCATACATGGTTCATACAGTCATGGAACTCGATATTTCCCTATATGATGTGACATGATATAAGGTTATGAGGCTATGTGAATAGATTGTTAATATCATACTATAGAGTGAAATGTACATGCATTTTCATGCAATAATGCTAACGTTACATGTGTAATCAAACTGAAATTTTCTGTGTTTCCCATCTGTACAGGTCCTAGTAGATGTCGAGCACAAAAGTCGACAGGAAATCGTCAAACATGTGAAGAAAATCCTGGGAAAGTCGGACAGAGAACTGGAAGAGATAGAGAAGAGTCAGCAGCAAAGTATCAACATTGCCAACTTTGGACCGAGGTGGCCGCGAAAGTGTATCTGTGAAATCGAGGGCCAGCTACCGTGTTCATCCACAAATGACTTTCCTAAGGAACTACGTGGAAAATATCAGATGAAGAAAAAGATGGAGGACCGCTATTGAGGAAGAAAACTTTGCACTAGAAAGTTGCAGTACTGAATAAAAGGACAATTGAACACCTCCTTTTCCCATCTACATACTGAAAGTCCCAGCAACCTAAATTGATTTACAGTAGTAGGTTCTCAATGATGTTGAATTGGACAGCACAAGTGACATTTTTGCACAACAAAAACAGGTTGTCACTAAGGTTTCTTGTCTTTTGGCTTGGCCTTGCTGACAAAGATTTGAGGCCTTCCCCAAAGTTTCTTGCCCATTGTGATAAAAAGTACTGTGATAAGATTTAAGGGAAAAAATGGTTTACAGGAGAAACAATTGTGACTAAATTTTTCATATTTCATTATTGCCTACTTGCTGCATCACAATCTTATTTGGGTTGTGGCACAGTCGTGTCTAGAATGGAAATAAAGGGGATATGCTTTTTATATGCATGAGATAAAGTCTTCAACTGTGTTTTTATGACCAATGTACTGTACGTTTGTAGATAAACATATGAAGCTATATGATAAAATAGAGCAGTGTTGAAAATAGTTATTACTTTGTAGTATGAACACATAATCCAAAATGCACCTCTGCATATAAATAGGTACATTATCTGATCATAAAGTCTGTAGTAAAGAATAACTAATAAAAGGAAGAATTCAAACAAATATCATAAAGTATCATAAAGTCATGAAGTATCACAGGTTCCAGTGCCAGTCATAAGTTAGGCACTATCAGCTGTGTATATGGTTAATATATCAATATGCAGTATCATGCCTCAACAGTTCAATGTCACCAAAGGTGGGAGAAACTAGAAAGGTAATCTCCAAGCAGATGAATCAGTCACTGGTTATTTTCTTTAACGGTTTAGTACAGTAGTAATGCAATGGAAATGCCTATAGGCAGTGACTGCCTATATAGTGTCATTTCGTGGTGGAACTAGAGCCTTGTATTCTAGTATGGCCCTTTTTTTTGTCGCTACCCACACCTTGGGTCACGCATGGACCCTCTCTGGCAAATGCATACTTCCTGGCCAATTTGATACATACTGTCTTCTTGCCACCCTAGGATCTAGCCTGGTGTCCAGCCTTGTTAGCTTTAGTCCGCTCCCCAAGAAGCGGGGAGCGGACTAAAGCTAACAAGGCTGGACACCAGGCTACCTCGGATCTGCATGGAGATTATATTAGAGGTAATTGCAAAAATAAAAACACCATAAACATTTCCAGATTTACAGAAGTTGAAAACTTGCCATGTTAGATAAGTCCTGTGCTGTAGCATGCCTTTTACATCTAAACCATTCATATATATATATATAATGGTTATTTATATGCATGTATCATAAAATCACATACAGGAATCAAACCTGGCTTTCAGTGATAAGCAGCACACATTTCTCTGCTGTCACTGCTGCAATCACACCTGCAGGGAACAATTGTAAACCTTCACCTGACTACCATCACGAGCATCGAGCTCTGCCGGTCTGATTTATTTGATGGCAACTTCAACCTGACAAAAGCTCTATGATTTCTGTTGATCTTGTTGATTGATATGGGCGAGGACCCTGTATAAGGTCTTTGATATGGGGAACTCCCAAAATCTGATAACTCTTTGCTATACCTAGAGATCTGTCAGAGTACAAACTTTCAACCAACTTGAAGGTAGCAATGTAAAAAATGGCCGCCAATGATAAGAAATCTATTAAAACAAGTTTTAGACCATCCAAGAATTTCCTAATCTCCATGTACTAGTAGATGTTTAAAAGACAAAATCATAACAATTTGTAGTCCATTATGATTTTGCCCTCCTACATTTGTGTGCAGATTGCTGTATGTTAGCATTTTGCTTTAGATGATACCTGTTTCTTTTTATTTCACCTGCCCACTGCAATATATTCCTGCAAAATTCCACAAACCAGGAGATTTAAATGGTGTGGCCAATAGTACCACTCCTATCAGAGCATCACGGAGTCACAGAAACACATAATACTGACCAGTTTTACTACTTTCACTGAGCGCCCTGTAGCTCTGCTATTGCATTTTACTTTCAAATATGGAAGAATACCACAAGCTCACTGGCATTTACAGGCTCCCGGTGGAATATCCCTCATGCCCATGACATTTCAGCATGCTATTAAGAGGCCAAAATGGCAAAGCCATCGGGAACTGCATTAAGAAACATCAATGTTCGCACACGTTTCGAAAATTTATTACTTCTCAACAGGACGAAGGTTGTGTTTTTACATCATTTCTCCAGTATATGTTGGAACTTGGAATAAATCTGGTTTCAGATGTAGAATCAGGGTTGTATTTTTTGACTGGTTTCAGTTTGGTTTTTGTGATGTAGCTCTTTCAAACTTTTGACAGATTTTGTTGGCCTTATCCGTGTGTTGCCATTATTCAGCGTCTGATTTTTTCCAGAAGTTTGTTTTATTTTGCAGTTTTCATGGTGCTGAATCTCTATTAAACAGCAAACACAACACACAAGTGCTACATTTTCCTGCGGCATCATTTCATGTTCCTACAAACTTCATACAATTTACAGTAACATCTACCGGTAGTTCAGAGGGTGGTGTGAGGAATATTGTGGGATTGCACTTTCCTATCAACTGAACGACTTGAAAAGAGAACCATACACACATTTGCCTGGAGGACATCTTGTTTGAAACCTTTGATCTAATTACGGCTGCTGCTTCTGATTGGTTGTTGAAAACCACTAATAAGGTGGATGAGGACTCTCTTCTGAACACTTTGAACTGAAGCCAAGACTCTCAAATGTCAACCATCAACAGTTTTAGAAAAGATCATGCAGAAAGAGTTCGGAGATTCTGGGGATTTGGGACTGCAGCGCTTTTGAACCTTTCAGAGTCCAAGGTCATCCTGGCTCGCTTTTAATGAGCGTAACCCATGGCAACACATGCACGAGAACAACAACAAAGTAAGACCATCGAATTGAGGGAATCAAAGTGTTAAAATCTTCCATCCTGTCAAATGCAACACTCATTATATACCATGATACAACCACATCCATGGTTCACTCAGTAATCTTGAACTACTTGCTGCTTTAAACTTTGCAAACATTTGCTCTGTCTTCCATTGTATGTTTATCATTTGAACTGTGAACACCAAGATACCGCAAGCTCTTTATTTACAACATCTACTTGATATGGCCCAAATGAGAAAATTCTAGAAATATCTTCCTGCTTACTTGGGAGTCATGCAGTCTGGGCAAAGTCATTATCTCCAGGCACACCTTGTATAGAGTGCTCAGTTAATGGACAGGACCTCCAGCCAGCTGAGTAACACTGGCGAAACCCTCCCTACATAACTGTTAGGTGAAGCTGTCTTTGTCTGTAAGGACATGCAATTTCTTAGTTCGAGAAGCAGCTATATAGCAGTTTACTATTACAGTAGTAGAATCTGTTTCTTGTACCAAACACTAGCATCTCTCATATAAATTATCTAGTTTATGATGCCAGATAACTCATTTCATGTTGCCCTTCTTTCTAAATGGGGAACATGAAGGGGTGTAAAGTGAGTGCTGGTAGTGTATGTGTTCTTCCATGTACAAGTACAAGGTTAAGTACTAAGCAAAAGACAGCTGACAATAATATTTTCCACCATGGAAAAATAAACATTTATTCAGTGGCAAATGACCTCTCACCCCACCTGCAGGTGACCAATCACATGTAAGCATACATGATTCAATTATCTTTTTTTCTGTGGTTGGTTGCTTGGCTCACAATACCGATTGATTGGTAAATGGCCATTTCCATCAGCTCTCCTACAGATCTGATGCACTTTTCTCCAAATACCTGGACATAAGATCTCAGGTCCACATGTTTATAATGACAACACTATTCTACTGCAATGCAACATTACCATCCTGTACAGTTAATTACAATTAAGCATGCCAGGCTTAAATAATTACAAAAAGGCAGTACTTTTGAGTGGTAATGAACCCATCCTATCGCTAGAGAGGACAGTGACTTCCTCTAATTTCATGCCAATGTGTTACAATTCTGTTTCCATAATTTTCATCAGAAACAAGTCATAAAATTGTTACAATTTTAATGTCAACTGCATAACATTTAGAAGATTTTCTATTTTCTTCCTTTATCTCGATGCAAACCTACATACTAGTAGTAGTCAATCACAGTCTTGCTGCAAACCACATTTTTTTACTACTGACTGTACAATCATGGATACAAATACCCATTAATATCTTCTTTTTAAAACATTTCCCCGACAAATACTGTAACACGTTCTTGTGAAATATGCATCTCACTCACTTTCATTGGTGCACAAAAGGGTGAAAATTTCCTAGGGGAAATCATTGCCGTGAGTTCAGATATTTGATAGACAAGAGATCAACAACAGATAATGACAAAAATAAAGGGCTCGTAAAAAACGTATCTCATCAAAAGCTTTCACTACTCAAGGAAGAGCAGTAAAAACAACAAAAAAAAACAACAATAATTTGGTCTTTTACAATTTCAAGATTTACACAATTGAAGATATTCTGTTGAGTTTCAAAGCACATTTCTGACAATAAAGATCAGTTGCTCTTTGTGAACAGCAGATGTATGAGTCTACTCTTGTACAAAATTGAGAAGAAAAAAATCATTCAAATGTGCCCCATTCTTATCTTGGTCACTTTGTACGCTTTTCTCATGATTCAAAGGGTAAACACATTTTTGGTTCTCATTGCTGTACTCAGATGCAGTACGGGGCATCCTATGGTTGGCCAATAGTAGGACAGCTTACATTACGAGTGGTTACTTTTGTGCATCACTATGGTCACAACTGCGTATCCACAAAAAACTACACCATCCATACTGCTTCTCTGAGGACATACTGCTGTTTAGTGACGGTCTCATATATACTTATAATATATGTATATATTTATATATATATTTACACTGAAGCAAATTATCCACTCTCTGCAAAAAGGTTAGTTCTTTGCGGACACACCCTAACACATTTACTGGTAACCATCATGTTTACGTCAACATCCCTATCCATTTCACCAACATGACGTCGAGCCACTTCTTTTACAAGTGAAATGCAGCTTCACAGAATATTTACACATTTTTTAAATAGCACAATATAAATACACTTTTAATCTTTTTTCTCTCACTAGGACACAAGCACATAACTATTAGACTTTGTTTAGTGGACCTAACATGCAAATGGCTATGACTAACCACATGGGTTATGTACAAACACGTGTAAAAGCCTTAGGCTTCGATAATTGGTTTAGCTTTACAGATTTTGACGCAGGCTCTACTCTATGCTGAGGACTCCTTTAAGTTTTCCAGGTATTCTGTCATATCGTCATCTGGTTTCAACCCCATTTGTCGATAGTCCCAGTCAAACTCGTCCTCTGCTGGAGGGCAGGGGTTACTAGTTATTCTGATCGGGTCTTTGGGCGCCGCAAACGTTGTAAAGTTCACGGCAGGCATGGTATCTTCCTCGGGCGTTTCCGTCTCCTTGTTTTCGTTCTCGTCGGCAGCGATGATCGGCGGCGCGGGAAGGGCCTCTTCCGTCTCCTCCTCGTTGACATTTTCTACAGATCCGGTTTGGGACGGTTCTTCTGAACCCTGGGTGCTGACGGTGTTGCTGGCGGGCGCTGGACCCTCGCCAGCCTTCCCCAGCCAAACCCAATCATGGGCATGGGTTAGACTCTCGTCGCTTCCATTGGGTATTCTCTTCTGCTTGTACCTCGCCGCAAACAGGATACAGTTCACCAGGAACACCATGATGGCCAGGCAGAACACGCCGAGGAGAGCGTACATACCGATCTCGAGATCTGACAGCTTCCGAGGCTGCTCCACGTAATCTTGGTACGACTCTTCGCTCTCCACTGAGACTGTCTCATCCACTGCCTTCTTGCTGCTGCCCGGCAGGTTACCAAAGTCTAAGTTGTCCAGAGGTATGATGATGTTCTCTTCCTTCCGTCTGTCCTGAATGGTGTCGATGATCATATCGTTCTGAACTTCCTCCTCTGTTGAGGTTGGGAGCATGTCCTCTGTCTCCTCGTAGACATACTCTTCACTTGGGTCCTCCTTCTCCTCACCAAACTCAACACGAAGGATGTTAGAATCGACAGTCAGCTCAGGCTTGGTCTTCTTGATGTCATTGGGACGATTTTCTGCATTGACTTCATCCTCTTCGGTTGGAGGGTTGCTGCTTTCGAGTTTGGGGATGCTGCTGGTGAGGTTGACGTTGATCTCTGTGCGGGTGAAAGCGAGTTCGCTGCCTCGTTTGCGCCGCATGCACCCTTCCGGGATCCTCAGCTCCACTTCGAGAAGGTCGCCCTTCCCGTGGCCGGTGGCGATGACACGCGGGATGGTGTGGGTTTTGCTGGGGCTCAGGGCCACGACGCGAGGGTTGAGAGACGACACCTTGATGCTGTACTCGTTGTCTTCGATTTCTCGCAGCCAGAATGCCGATCCATCACTGAACGACACCGAGACATCCAGCACGCCCCGCTAGTAGAAGAAAGATAACAAATGTTTTTACTCCCAAAGGTTATGACATTCTGCAGGAAGATCCAGGATATCTATCTCACGCAAACTACATGACAAACTCTATATAATCTGTCATCCTCATAGCTCAAATACTTATGCCCACGCTATTTCTGAAGTCCTCCAGAGGGTGTTTACTCTTATCAGAAGGTGGCAAGAGAAGTGGTGTGTATCCCACTTCAACACAAATTGGCCATTTCTCAAACCTAGATATCCATCTACATGAGCCCCATCATGAAACTGCCCCAGTAAGATCATAAAAAGAAGTCACGAAGTCGTTTTAGTTCGTTCTGCAGGGCTCAGGTTAGATTTGCCAAATGTTAAAGGTGTTTTGTGGGGTGTCCCAAGGGATGCTGGTAGGATTCTCCAGTCGTTTCAGGAACGTGACTAGCATCAATGTCACAGATCTACAGTTTTATCTCTAATGCAATCTAGGTCCTTTACAGCCAAAGGAGCAGGAAATATTGCCACACTGAAATTAGCTACATTCTTCTCCCCGCCCTCTATGCAACACAATGAGGCAATTTCTCTGATAAGGTTGAGAACGTAATTATCAGGACGGCTTCTTGGAGTTCAACACGTGGCTAAGGGCATTTCTTATAGCAGGTACACTGGGCAATCTTGTTCTCTGATTGGGTCCTACCAGTTGGCAGTCTGCCCAAAACTGTGTGATACACTGGGAGAGAAATATCTAGTCATTCTTGGGTGGTGAAATGACTCGGGTGTATTGTACGGGAAATCCATTTTAACCCTCTTGGCACCTTGTTAGCATGCGGTAGGCCGGACGAATTCCCTTCCCTAATCAAATTCTAGGATGAAACATGCCACAATCTAAGACAGTGTAGTGGGAAATCAAGATAAAGTGCTGAACCCTCTGTCCTTTGGGGCATCTAATATAAGAAGTGAATTGTCTGACTGTGGTGAACCTGCAGTGACATATCATATCTGCCATGATTTGATCCTGTTGTTGCTTGACTTTCTTGACTTTCCCTCCCACCAGCCTCGACTGTAGAGGGCATTTGCCATGGACTACACATCTGTAGTTTGAGCACATATGTATTTTTCATGCATTTTGAGGCAATGTTTACTGTTTTGACAAAAAATTATAGTAGACATCCTTAGACAAAGTGGAAGCCCTGCTCAGAATACTACCCAACTTAGTAACTGGCTGTCCTAACAATTGGCCCAGAACAAGCCCTAATATATTACCTGATATTGTCCTGTCATTGTCTGTTGTGCTGTTGTTGTGGCTGAGAATATCTTGCCCCCTGAAGAAGGCTCAGCTGACAGTGACATGGTGATTCCAGCAACAACAATGGCCTTGACGCCCTTGATCGTGACCTTGTCGTCGGCAACCATCAGTTCCTGAGCTCCCATCAGTCTGCCATTCAGGGGAGAGATGACCTGATAGAAAGAAAAGAAAAATTTGGTCAAAATGACATTTTTTTAAAATAACATTTCTCTATCAGACAGGAAAATAAACATATCAAATCTGTAAATTGCCCTGCGAGTATGATTCCATAAGATTGTTGATTAAAAATCTATCCAGTTTGAAAAAACTAAATTACTTTCTTACGGTTACTACACACCCTGGATGAGTAATCTTCATCAACGGATTGTGATATAAACCTGCGTATGTGTCTGAAAAATGTGGGTGAAGACTACGGTACTGGAAGACCACGTACCTGTATCTCTGTAGTCCCTGGCACTTTGGCATTGACCGTCGTCCCCTTCAGGGATGCGATGGACTCATCCGCCACACGGATAAAACTGGACACCAGCTCTGTAATCTGGAGGTATCTGTCACCAAGCAGGAACCGGTTTTCCCCAGCTGGAAAATTCACACAAAAACTATAGATTAGAAACATGTGGTGGACATTGATGCTGAATGATTGAAATGTATATATTTTTAAAAACATTGTACTGTTTAATAGATAAACTAAATGCTGTTAAAATATATAGCAAAGTGCTAAAAATATCTAATGTTTCAAAGCAACAATAACTGGTCCAGTTTTGCTATAGTACCATAGAAAGACACTATTAGCTAATAACCAAACTTGTTCTTTGTTTTGGCAGCAGGTACTCTCATACCAAATATCATAATGGATATCTGTAACTTCTCAAGTCTTGTTGTCTACAAACAAACAGACCTAACCACAAACGGAACCAAAAACACTATCTTCTAGTTCTAATCGATGGTAACAAAAACCATGGGACAAAATGTATGTGTACATGTACTCACCAAGGTCATTCTCTGGAGTGTAGAAACGAGTGAACACCTGCACTGTTGCATGCTGGTAGCGCAGACGACAGGCCGCCCGTGCCTTTCCCTCCGTAGCACTGTCCGGCGAAACCTCCTCACGGAGCAGCTGACGAGGGTCAAAGTTCAGCTTTGCTGCGGCACTACGTGACTGTCTACTGGATAGGACAGAAATGACATTTGTCAAATATCTGTTTAAACACCATAGATTGTTATCAAATCCTACAAGCTGAACTTGCAAGCAAGTGTAAAACTTTGAGACAGACACTAAAACTTTTTGACAAATTCAGTCCAATTTCCTGACTGTCTCTGGCCTTATACATACAGGTAGAATGTATCACTGCGTGTAGAATGTTCAATTTCCTGTGTTTGTATAGAACTGTGATGATATTTCTCCGCAGTTGAACAACTGCAATCAAACTTCCACTCACAAAGTTTTCACTTAAACTTTAGATAGCTAGAGGAAACATGATTGATGATGTGTGAAATTCCAGTCCATGTATATGCTTTTCAATCAGTCTTTCAGCACTAACAGTGTATAGCTAACAGTGCTCACAGGTACCTTGGATTGGACTGTTGTAATTCACTTGACTTTTTGCAGATGACTTTACAGTTTACAGCATCATGTAAAGGAAAACAAATACTTCAGTGCAGTTAAATGTGAAAGTTAAGAAAAGCCCACCTGTTGTAGTTGTTGTCTGAGGCTAGCGCCACCTTCCATCCCTTGATCTGACTCAGTCTGGTGTCGCTGAGCTCTACGGTGAGGGGCAGCTCCGGCATCCATACCGTGAAGTTCAGTTCCGTGAAGACGTCTGCGTACGAGACGATGATGGTGGCGTGCTGGGAGCCTCTCATTTCTGTGCCGTCCAGATAAACCATGGAACAGTCATGCATTACCTGTGGGTGTAAGAGAAGCAAGCTTTTGTTGACTGTTTCTTTATTTCTAACTTGTATTTTTAACTTCATGTACTTTTATAATGACCTCACTACAAAGCAGAGACTGCGCACAGTGCTAAACAAAATGGAATCAAATAGATAAATTGACAGTCCTACATTTTAAAACTTTGCTATATAATACACATATATCACCATTTACATGTATTCTTTTCACACATACTTACTAATCATTGATGAAAAATTATTCTTCCAAGTACTTGATACGTTTCACATCATATTTACGTAAAAAAACATACCGACTTTGCTGAGAAAATTGCTAACAATATTTCAAGAGGATTTTGAATACGCTATTTGGGATCAACCAACCCTTTTACAGGCAGCTATCATAAAAACATCAGTAAACTTGATGTCTTCACAGACGCAGCAGAATTTAACTTCCATCCACCAAAGGTTAATTACCTGCGCGTGGAGGCGTGCATTATTGACAAACAGATACAGACAGATTTCCCCGCTAAAATTGCTTTTCTGTAATTTGCCACACGGGTGATTCTAAATCTTATTTCCGAACGGAATGGAGGCAGGAAATGCATGGGAAGAACACGGGTCAGTCTGTAGGGCAATAACACCTACATGGTATGTTCACAAAAGAGCCATTATCACAATGAAAGATGGCAGACTTCAGCACTCTAGTGCCATAAAACGTACAAAAGCTTTCATATCAAAGTGTACTACAGAGAGTATGTCATCGAAATGGCATATAAAATGCAGAGGCAGAAGGGTATAGAAAAGCAACCCTCGTTTCTTATGAATAATCAATGAGATGAACACAGATGCCTCAAGGGCTGAACAATAACACATCTGGTAGCTTCAGAAAAGCTGATGCTGGTA